AATTTAACAACCAAGGTAGTTCCTCTCAAATCCTCCCTCTTCTGTCTTTTTTTTTTTTTTTTTGAGGGGCATGGTGCTTTAAACCCAGGCAGCTACATCCTTAGCCCCGTGGATTTTATTTTGAGATAGGGTCTTGCTAAGTTGAGCAGGCTGGCCTTGAACTTTTGACAGCTTGTTTGGAGATCCTAGCAGAGGAGTGAAGCTACTCATGTACCCTTGCTGGAGGAAACCATCCTCCTCTATGGCAGGGGGTGGTCTTTTTCTGATCAAGCTCCCGACTTTGCAAACTGTGAGGGGGAAAGGGGACACCCGTCTAGCCAGTCAGATCAGCCAAATCAACTCTGGCAATCAATGGGGTGATGGATGTTGCAGCCAGATCACCCTCACATCCTGGCCTTGAACTTTTGATTCTCCTGCCTTAGCCTCCCGAGTAGCGAGGTCTGCACACATGTGGGTCTGTGCCCAGCTTCCTCTCCATTCTTGGTTTTCTGTGTTTATGTGTGTACCTCCCATGGAACAGGGTGTTTAGTCTGGGCCTTATTTGTCTCAAGCCTTCTGTATCACTTACCTCTGTGTTCAGTCAATAGTGGATGCGCTTACACAGGCCTGTGCACGTATGTGAGCTTGCACACAGAAGCTTGCTTCTCAGATGTGTGGCTTTTTCACAGATGAAGTGGGCAAGTGGGAGTTGGGAAGGGATGACTAGTGTTTCAGGGAAGAGAGCTGAAACTTACGAGATTCTCCAGAGGTTGAAAGATGGTAGGAAACCAACAAAGGAATCCCAGTGGTGATTCACTCAACAAATGTTTATTGAGCACTGACCGGGTGCCAGGCGCTTAGAAGATGCAGAAGTGAGCCTAGGAGACAGAATCCTTGCTGTCACGGAACTCACAGTCCAGCGCAGAGAGACTGACAAACAAGAGTGAGTAAGATAGAGGGCACGCTCGGAAGGGATGGGCGTTAAGTATGAGGTATGACCAAAATACAGGGTGAATGTTTAAAACATCTTATTACAGGAAAAGACACGTTGTCATTAGTCTCCCTAAACTGGTGCCCTTTGCTTTGAACACACCCCCATGTTCTTGTCACTTTTGGGAGCAGTTCTGGGAGTTCTTCTTCAGGGGTGTTTTTAGGAAGTGTGATAAAAAATACCGCAAATGCTACTGCCGAGGGCCTTCCAGTGGGTGGAAAGGCAGCTCACAAAAACACGGCAGCGGGTCCTCATTCACTTCATTCGTAGCATCTGGCACCGAGTGACTGCTGGGTCCTTCCCAAAGTAAAAATGGCCATGAAAGGTAAATGTTTTGAATGCATTCAGGACATTTTGAGATAGTCACAGCAGTGTGACTAAATATGCTCCTGAGACAGGGCTTCCAGAACTGCTTCGGAAAGAGGCAAGAGAGGGAAGGAGGTGGGAGAGGAAGAGAAGGAACAGAAAAGAATTAAGGTGTATTACGTGCGTTTATCAACTCATGACAGAAATATAGCCGCTATGCACTGCAAACATGTATTAATAAAAATAAACATTAAAAAAGAGAAAGTGGCAAGAACAATGGGAAAGGTATGTTTGAAGCAAGGGGGGGTATTTTGAGGAGGATTAATGGCAATGTGTCTTTTATAGTAGTAACATTTTAAATTTAAAACATTCACTTCATGTTTTGATCACACCTCATAGAAAGAAATAAAGAGGGCGGGGAGAGTGGAGGGCATAAGAAGTGGCAGAGGGATGGCTTTAGGGTGGCCAGGGAAGGCGGTTTGTTTCTTTTTTCTTAGTGCATATTAGTTACATAGAATAGCGGGTTTCATTTGGTATATTCACAGGTGCCTGTAACGTACTTTGCTAATTTCCACTTCCATTATCTTCTTTGCCCTGCTCCTCTCCTTCCTCTTCTTGCCCCACTTCATCTTCTCTGCTAGTCTCCTGAGGAGGTAACTCTTGAATAAAGGCCTGGAGGAGGTGAGGGAGCAGCTTGTGTGAGTAACTGGGAAGAAGTGATCTGGGTCTAAAGAGTGGAAACAGCAAGTGCAAAGGTCCTGCAGCAGTATTCTGGCATGTTTGAGAATAAATTAGAGATTAAACTAGGTCAGGTATTTTTTGGGCCTTTTCTGTACTTTTTTCTCCTTACCATACTTAAAATTAAAGATTTGTCTAATTACTTGTTTGAAGTCTGTTTTCCCACCAGACTTTCAGCATCTGTGACTCTCAGCACAGGCCCAAGCACATAATGGGTGTGTAACCACATTTTGTTGAACAAATCACTACATAACATTTGGGGGCAAAATCAGCTGTCTAAGTGAGAACACACTTGAGAGCAGTTACGTAGAGGTTGGGGAGTCTTAGCTATGATCAGGGTTGAACTTTGGGTGCAAGAGGGGCTCTTGGAAGCTACCTGAAGCTGTGCTTCTGGGGCCTTTCCTGGAGGCTGGGCTGGGCCAGAGAGGGGTTAGAGAGTGATGTGGGGCTGAGGGTGGTTACCTGGAGCAGGAGAGAAGGGAAGTCAGAACCTATTAGCACCTCTGAACGGCTCTATACTGACACGTCCACAGTGTGAGCCCTTTGTAGTTTTTCTGCTGCAGGATTGAAGTCTTGCTGGTCTCCTTTGTGTGGGAGAACCAGTAATGAAGTGAGTGGGGCCTAGCTCCCGTCCAAACAGTTCACCTCTGCATGCTTGCTTAGAGGATTTTCCCCATAGGGGAAGCATCTGGTACAGCAGTTTGCAAATCCGGGGACTCAAGAAGGTCCTTGGGAGTGACTGTCATCAATCCAAATTCATCTGTTCGGAGTTGAGGGTATAACTCAGTGGTAGAGTGTTTGTCTAGCATGATTCAGTCCCTAGCACAGGGAAAATAGCCCCCTCATCTTGTCAAACAAATAGTTACTGATGCTTAGTGGATGCCAGACCCGGAGCTAGGTGGAGTGGTGGTCCAGGTGGACACAGTGAGATTGTGATCAAGTGTCTGGTGGTTTTTCTAAGAAAGTTTGAGGGACAGTGAGAAGAAGAGGGAAAAGGTTTATTTAGAGCTGTTCCAAGTGGCCATGGTCTGAGCTGGGTGGGGGTGGTGGCTCCAGCCTGAGTAGTTGTGTGGGTGGCCTTGGGCAGATCCCTCGGTCCCAGCATGAGGGCCAAAGCAGACTTTGAGGTCACCTGGTGCAACCCTGTAGGTTACACAAGGGTGCGAAATGTACACCCTACCCCACACCCTGCATGGCCTTAGTTCTCAACTGTAAAACTAAGGTATTGGGTCAGGTGACCTCGGAACTCCTTCCTGGCTCTTGTATTTTGTAATATTCTAAATATGGGGAAGTTGCACACAGGTGGATCTGCTCCATGCCAAGTGTGGCTTCTGGTCTTAACGCTGAGAGAGAAGGGCAGCAGAGTTCAGTCCCCGTGGTCCTTTGTCACACGCACTCCTGGGGCTCAGCAGTCAGGCCCAGACTTTGCCTCTGAAAGCGGTCCCCAAGAAGTGTTCTGAGCGCTGTCCTGTGACATCCAAGCTGTCTCCCAACTCTTCGTTCTCCCCACTGCCTCCCTCTCCTCAAGACTCCCAACACGCTCCTGAATCCTCCCTCTTCTCTTCCTCACTGGCCCCACGCGTCTTGAGGTTCTTTGCTCTTTCACTGAAGGTCTTGCCTCTTCCCCCTCATTAGTGTCACTCAGCGCTGCTGCTGAGTGGCCTGGGGGAAGGAGGAAGAGGTTTAGAGTCCTTTGGTGGGAGAGGACATCTGCTCACGGTTTTTTGGTCTGGGGCAGAGCACCTGTGATTGCCCTGATTGCTGAACTGGACTTCTTCATAGCTCAACCACTTGAATGTAACATAGAAACGATTCCTGAATGTATAGCCTTGCCACTTGAATGTAGTGTGCTGAGTCTGTCTGTTGTGGCTTTGCATTGTACTGCTAAAGATTCCAGTTTCCTACCCTCCAAATGCACCAGATTCTAGCTAAGGGGTGGGGGACAGGGAGAAATAGCTTGTGTACCATGAAAAGATGTTGTAGACATTCCTTAAGAATCAGTCATCCAACTCTGCAGGGAGGCATCTAAATGTAGGTTGCCAGACACCCTTCCTTTGGGGACCTTCTGGGGTAGGAGGTGGTAGTAAGATACCCCTGGGTATTTGCTCTCCAAGACAGAATCTATCCTGTGGGAAACCTCAAACTCCCTGTTTTTCTCCTACTACCTAAGAGTTTTTTTCTAAATGTGCATTTAAGTTTGGAGCCTGGGTACTTCTGATGTGTGCCCTGAATGTGCAGAGCTGAGGCCTAGGTGGACTGGCTTGTGTAGGGAGGAGCAGGGATGCAGGCAGGCTCAGTGCAACCTACAGGGAGATGCTTGCCTTGAGTGGGTGGGGCCTTCTGGCTGATTGCTGGGTTGGGCTAGAGGAGGGACTAGGACACCCTGCTTTTCTGTGACATTTCCAAATCCTGGAGTATCTTTTAGCTCATGATGGTAACAGCACGTCTGCTGTCCTCCTCCTGGTCACAGTGCTGCACCCAGGCTTCCTCCCCCGCCTCTTGGAGGGAGAACTTCCCTTTTGAGTCTTCATTTTTCCCTGTCTGGCATCTCAGAGTGCTCGAATGCCTCATGGGAACCCCACCCTCTCTTCCTCTGCTCTGAGAAAAGCTTCCTTCCTTCCTCATTTTCTTCTCCAGGAAACCTTTCCTGAAAGGTCCTCGATGTCCTTGCTCAGGGCTGGCCTTCCTCATCATCCACTGCTGTGGTCCAGGGCTTTGGCTGCTTGCTTGTCTTTGAGGCAAGCAGGCCCATCTCTCCCACTGGCTGGCGGCTCCCTGGGCTGGGCCTGGGTCTTCTTCTCCTTTGGGCCCTCAGTGTGTTGGGTACCTATTACCCAGGTGCGTCAGAGTAAGTCAGTCAGAGCCAAGTAACAGATACAGTCAGGCCAAGAGCATCTTGTTTTCAAGGCCCAGCCCAGGTCTGGGAGGGGATAAAAGTCTCGTGCTGGGGCCCCAGGGCAGGAACAAACACACCTTGTCCATCTGTCCAACTGCCTGCTGCTGTGTACCTGCTGTGTCTGCCATGTCTCTGTCCCCGTGTTGTTTCCAGAGGGGCTTCAGTGCTCGTTCAGCCTGTTCTGCTCTCTCAGGAGGCCATGCCAGGCGCAGCTTCAGCAGCAGGAGCCTCAGTTCTTCCCGGGGATGCCGAGGAGGCTCTCGCGGAAGGCCTCGGGGGTTTCAGGGAAGGCTGGGGATGTGGTCCAGGGAAGGGATTGGTGGGTCTGAGCCTTCCTTGTGTCCAGGGGGCATCCGAGAAGTGACCATCAATCAGAATCTGCTGACTCCCCTGAAGATTGAGATTGACCCCCAGTTCCAAGTGGTGAGGACACAGGAGACCCAGGAGATCCGCACTCTCAATAACCAGTTTGCTTCCTTCATTGACAAGGTGAGGGTCAACTCAGCTCAGCTTCTGTGTCTGTGACTCTGTCTGAGGAGAGGCTCTCGATGGACTGGAAATGGGAAGGTCTGACCTATTTCTACTACTTTCCCAATCACTTCTGCAACAAGGGAGTCTTTTCCGAGGTTTAAATGGAGTGTCTCTGGTTATGCCAAACCTGTTCCATATCTGAGGCTTAGGGTTGGAGAACCGCTGGCCAGCATGGGAAGACCCTTCTGTCAGGCTGGCCCATCATTTGGATGTGCTCAGGCTCTCATGAAAGAGCACGAGGTGTCCTGCATAGGCAGAGTGGGAAGACAGGGGACAGTGTTGCTGACAGAAATGTCCCCAAAGCTTGATTTACTGGAAGCCATGCCCAAGAGTCCCTAAGGAGCCTCAGAGATGCTGTCCTTGGCTGCAGGTTCGGTTCCTAGAGCAGCAAAACAAAGTCCTAGAGACCAAGTGGCACCTGCTGCAGCAGCTGGAGGTGAGTGACAGCCCCCAGAGCCTGGAGTCTGTCTTTGAAGCCCACCTGGCCCAGCTCAGGAAGCAGTTGGAGCAGCTGCAGAGAGAACGAGGGACCCTGGATGCCGAGCTGACAACCTACCAGAAGCAGGAGGAGGAGTATAAGGCCAAGTAGGCAAACCACAGTTCTCCTGGGGGGGCCGGGAGGGCTAAGATCCATCTGAGGCATCTCACGTGCTGAGTCTTGGGGACACATGCCTGCCTCTTCACTCCCTGTGTTGTGTCCCCTTTAACAACTCACAGAGCCCCACCTGCTGCAGGCCAAAGAGACACCACAGCCTTCCTGCTTGCCTTGTGGAAGGGCAGGGTGACCTCTCTCTATGGGACTAAGATCTATTCATTCCTATAGGCCTCAGCCATGGAGGCCATGTTTCTGGTCAGGCCTGGGAAGGGCTTATTCAAACAAGGCCACAGTGGGGTTTTCTTGAGAAATTCCTGTTTAGCAGGTTTTGGGCTAAAGTGACTCAGATGTTCTTTGGTCTCAGAGTTGGAAGGAAATCAATTTAGAAGGACCATCCCTAGACCCATGATATGATTCACAGCTGGGCTGTGGTTAGGGTTAGGGCTCCTTACCTTAGTTAATTGGTGGTGACAGGAGACTTGTGCTGGAGAGACTGTGAGCATAGGTGGCCATGTGGCCCTGGGCAGCCATTTTCCCTCTTCCAGCCTCAGTTTCTACAGATGTACACTGGGAAAAATGTCATTTTGCTTTGATAAAACTTGAGTTGCCTACCACAGATAGTGATTGTAAGTAGTAATGAGAAAAGACACTTGAAATGTGTCCTAGAAACCCAATGTGGTCTCCTGTCATGGGCACACTGGTGGGAAGGGTGGCCCAGGCACATAGCTAGGATGTGACAAAGCCTCTGGTCAGGAGAAGAGTGAAGGGTGGTCATGGGTCCTGCTGTGGGGCATGTAAATTTGAGGAAGTTTCTGTCAGAGAGGGAAGTGGGGACAGGGACCAGGGGCTTCATTCTTGCACCTGACTGTGTCTGTTTCTACTTCCTTGGCAGGTACGATCTGGAGGCCCACACTCATGCCACGGTGGAGAATGACTTTGCTGTCTTCAAAAAGGTGTGTGTGGGAGTTCATGTGTCCATGCAGATTCTGAGCTCTTGCCATGCCTGGAGCCTGGTCATAGGCTGGGAGAGGGTGAAAGCGCTTCCTGATTGAAGATGTGCCATTATTTTCCCTTCCCATCAATCCCTGGGGGTGGGGTGGGATATGGGACAGCTTACAGGGAGCCCAAGAGACCCAGCTAGGAACCAGCTGGGGAGCTCTGGAGTCACTGCAGGAGAGGGTGGAGTGGGAGAGGAGGAAGCAGACTTGGTTGGTCTTCATCAAGGGGGGCAGTGTCGGTCAGTGCAGGGCAGGCTGTGCTGGAGAAGCAGGGAGGGATCTCTGGAGATGTGATGGCTGGGAGTTAAGCAGTGGGTGCACAGAACTCTGGAGCTGGTTTAGGGCTCACAAAGAACAAATGGTGGCTACGTGGATTCTTTCTCCTTGTTTCCAGGAAGTGGATGGGGCTTTCTGGAGCAAGATGGAACTGGAAGGGAAACTGGAGTCTCTGAGAGAATTGTTTTGCTTCCTGACACATCTGTATGAAGAAGTGAGGATCTGCTAAGGGCATGGGGAAGTGATGAAGGGGACAGGGTGGGCTGGGGACTCTCTGTGGCGATGCAAGAGATTAATTAGGATGGTAAACCTCTTAAGTGGCTTAAGTCTGTGGTCATTCAGGCCTTTGACAATCACTGAAAATTTACTATGTGGGTTGCTAGGTACTGGGAGTACACCAATTAATAATCAGACAAAACTCACAAAGTTTGCTTTCTATTGGAGATGGAATAAATTTAGCAAATGAATAAATTACATAGTATGTCTGAAGGTGATCAATGCCATGGATAACAGGGAAAGGAGAGTGGAAAATGGGGGGAGGTAGCAGTTTCAAACAGGCCTTACTTAGGAGATGGAATTAGAGTGAAGATTTGAAGGAGGGGATGAAGGTCACCATGAGGGTGGTTTTCTGGGGTTGTAGGCAGAGGCCGCAGCCTGTAGCTGGGACACTGGTGTTGAGGCAATGCAGGGAGGCCATCTGAGCTGGAGCAGCAGGAGCCAAGTGAGGCAGGAGTAAGGTTGGGGTCAGGGAGTGATGGGGCATATGATTCTGAGCCTTGCAGGCCATTTTCCTTTAATGTCCAAGTATCACTAGAGACCATCTCGTTGATCCTTATTTTCAAATAAGGATGCTGAGCCCAACAAGGCAGCTATGCCCAGTGTGCATTAGGTGGCAAGTTGGTGAAGCGTGGGCAAAAATTCTAGCACCCTTCCCCACTGAGGGCCCCCTCCCTGAGGAGGGGGGGATGGTAGCACTGAGGCAGTCTTCCCTGCAGGAACGGAGCCAGCTGCAGACACAGGCGGGCGACACATCTGTGGTGGTGTCCATGGACAACAACCGCTGCCTGGATTTCAGTGACATCATCGCTGAGGTCCGTTCCCGGTATGAGGAGATTGCCTGCACGAGCAAGGCTGAGGCTGAGGCCTTGTACCAGACCAAGGTACTGGCGCTGGGAGGTGGCACGATGCTGGGAACTGCTGCTGGGTCTCCATGTCTACAGCCCAGGGTGCTGACCCTCCTTGGTTCCACTGGGGCCATTCTGATAACCTTCCTGAAGGACCAGGGTTGGCTGACTGGGAACCTGGCCCCTCTCCAGAAGGGAAGCAGGGGAGTGGAGCCATGGAAGACAAGCTTGGACTTCAGCAGGCACATCCTTGTGCGCTGGTCCCAAACTATTAGTCCACAAAGGGAAAAGGAGGATGTGAGGAGGCATCTCTAAAGCGGGATGGAGCTTCCCGTGCAGTTGAGGTCAAAGGTGGTGGTCTTCTCATCTAGTTGTGTCCCCTGTGTTCCTCCTAGTACCAGGAGCTTCAGTCATCAGCCCAACTTCATGAGGACAGCATGAAGGAAACCAAGATCCAGGTGTCCCAGCTGCAATATGAGATCCAGAAGCTGCAGAGTCAGATTGACAGCCTCAAGCGCCAGGTCAGGTTGCCAAGGCCCTTCCAAGAGCTCTGCTCCTGTGCCTCACCTTCCCCAGCTCTGGGACTCCCTCTCCCTGGCCAGGCTTTCTAGAAGCTTTGTTCACAAGTCCTCGCTTGATTGATGGCTGGGGCTCTGGATCATTTGGGATGGGAAGAACCTTGAGGCTCTTCTAGCATGAATTTTGCCTTCCTCCTGCAAATCATAGGCTACACTTTGGCTTTTCTGGCACAGCCTTACTACACAACCCAGCCCAGGGAACTGTCATATTTGTTACTGTATATTTTGCTTTCAACTTCTTGGGCACAGGGTTAATTTATCTCTTATCTCTTCTTTTGACTCTTATTCTTCAAACATCTGGAAATCTAGGGCATAACAGTGACTTTTGGGTCTCCTATTGGGGAAGAGGAGTGCTTAGAGAACAGATTAGAGTGGGGGGTTAAACCTTCTTAGGTACTTGCCTCACAAGAGGAGGCTGGTCTTCTGGGAGAGCTCACTCCCAGATGGGAAGGATATGACTTACCAATTGTCAAGTATCTGTGCACTCATATTTCTCAAACCCAAAGGATTGGCTTTGTGATTCATGGAGGATGGCAAAAAGAGACAGAGTTAGGTGGGTCTCCAGCACTGCAGCTGGATTCCCAAGTCACATGCAGCCTTTCCATGTGTAAGCATGACCCTCCAGGAAGTACCTTGGAGCAGGCATGGGCCAGTCACCTCATTTTAGATCTTCCACTGATTGCCATTGAAATGAGGTGCAGGATCTGAGATGAATAGGACCTGAGTCTAGCACTTAATTTGCTTCCTCAGTGGAAACTTTGGTGTGAAATCCCCTATGTGTCCTTATGATGCAGATTCCTGGGCTTTGTGTCAGAATCTCCAAGCCTGGGTCCCAGAAACCTAGTGATGCTGAAGCACATGGTCCTTAGATCCCAGAAACCCCCTAAGGAGGATCTATTGGGTGTCCAGGCCTGGAGTCGCAGCTCCTAATCCATAGCCATGCACCTTTCCTATGAATCCCTCTTCAGGGTCAAGTGGCTCTTCTTTTCGCAGAAGCCTGGCAGACTGAGGTCCCCTGTGCCAGGGCCTTGTGTGCTGGTTATCAGCTGTTTTCGGTTGGGGATGTGGGTCTGTGTTCTGCCACCCATTACCTTACTGAGTCTCATCTTATTCAGGTATAGAGTGGAGATGATGTGCCCATGCATGGGGTGCTAGTGTGAGGATGGAATCATGGAACCTTTGGGGAACCCCTTCTCTTCTGAATCTGATATGAGGGTGAATCTGCTGTAAGGCAGATAGGCAGCTGTCTTCCTCATAATTTCTTCCTGGATGGGAGAGTAGACACAGGGACTATATTTTTCAAACCAAAATTTGAGGCAGATGATTTGATATTCTCTGAAAATGGGTCAACCATTTGAAACATGACCATGATGGCAATCAAGAGGAGATCTGAGAGCTGGGCATGGTGGCACACTGCTGTAATCTCAGTACTTAGGAAGCTGAGGCAGAAGAATCATTTGCAAGTTTGAGACAAGCCTGGTCTACAAAGTGAGCCCAAGGCCAGCCTGAACTGCACAGTGAGATCCTGTCTCAAAAAGACACACACACACACACACACACACACACACACACACACACACACACGATGAGACTTGAGGCCAAGGATCCATATAGGACAGGAAGATGGTTAGGCATCCTGGGAGAGAGAATCATTAAGTTTTGGGAGAGAGAGTCATAAAGGGACAAAAGAAATAGGGAGATGCCAAAGGAGGTGTATTAGTTTTCTAGACTGTTGCACAAATTACCACAAATTTGGTGACTTAAAACAACAGAAATGTATTCTTTCACAGTTCTGGGGTCTGCAAATCTGAGCTCAGGTTGTTGGCAGTGTTATGCTCTATCTGGAGGTGCTTGGGGAATCCCTTCCTTGCCTCTTCCTAGATCCTGGTAGTGTCAAGACTTCCTTGGTTAAGTGCTTCATTACCAGTATTTGCTTCACCCAGTGGCTTTTCTCTGTGGCTTTGTCTTTTCTAATAAGAATACCAATCACTGCATTTAGATCTTAGCATAAATGCAATATGTTATTATAATGAGATCCTTAACTAATTATATTAGTGAAATTCCACTTCCAAATGAGACCACATTCTGAGGTTTGGGGTAGACACGAAATTTTGCAGGACCACATTCAAGCCTCTATAGCAAAACAAGGAAACAGGGAAGGAATTCTTCCCTTGGGAATGAGAGAAGCTGGGGTGGCCATGATAATTTTGAGATCCTGAGATTAGGATCTATGCCAGTCCCCAGATATGTCTGCAGTGGGTACTTTGGAGGCTGTGCTGGCCACACAGCCACTTTCTTCCTCATTTCTGCCCACTTTCAGAATGCAGACATGCAGTCGGCTATCAATGATGCTCAGCAGCACGGGGAACTGGCCCTCAAGGATGCCAAAAGCAAGCTGGATGAACTTGAGGGTACCCTGAGAATGGCCAAGCAGGACATGGCCAGGCTGCTGCGAGACTATCAGGAACTAACGAGCACAAAGCTGTCCCTGGATGTGGAGATTGCTATGTATCGCAGGCTGCTGGAGGGCGAGGAGAACAGGTGAGGCAGCTTGGACGAGTGGGAACTATGTGCATGGGTGGGGGAGGAGACGGGATGCCAAGATAGGGCTCCCTTTGCTGAAGTGGATTCTAAGAGATTTTCTGGCACTGTGGGTCACTAAAGGGACCCATCTCCACTGATGGATTTTAAATTGGGGATGTAGGTTCTATGTGCTGAGAAGATAGCTGAACTGCTCCTAGAGATGCGATGCTGGAGCAGGAAGATGAGAAGTTTGAGCCCAGTCTGTATAAGTTAGCAACTTAGAGAGATCCTGCCTGTAAAACAAAATTTTTAGACACCTGGGGGAACAGTCTTTGCATCCTTTCTCATTTCTTCTTGTCCTTTCTCCCCCAGGATGTCTGGGGAGTGCCCCAGCCAGGTGATTATCTGTGAGTATCAGGGGACTTTTAGAGGGGGAACTCCATGGGTGCTAAGGACCCTTCTGATACCCTGGTGCATTTTTTGCAGCCATAGTGGGAGACAATGCCATTGTGCCTGGAGGAGTTGGTGGCAGCCAACAAAGGGGCACTTGTGGATTTAGAGGTGGGAAAGACACCTTTGGATATGGCTGCTCCAGCGTTGTGACTGGAGGCTTCAGCGACACCCTGGGCTCTGGTCAAGGCCCTACTTCGGGCTCCTGCTCTGTGTCTGGCTCTGGCTTCAGCTCTGGCTCCAGCTCCAGCTCCAGCCACCATACTATCCTGAAGAAGACAGTGGAGTCAAGTTTGAAGACATCCATCACATACTGAGTGTCCTGGTGACCACTTTTTCCTGGACCCACCAGCCCTGCTCCTACATTGTCCTCCAGCTCATAGCCAGCCCTGAATCCACTGCCCGCCTCCTAAGCCAGCCCAAGGGAATTCTGAGAAAGTCAATAAAGTCCCACCCACCTGAGTCCTGAGTGCCTGCTGATCTTGCTTTGCTTGGGGATTTGCATCTCATTCATGTGCAACCTCCCTACTTCAACCGCCTCTCCACAGGGTGCATGGTGCCCCATTCTCCAGCCAACCAATTTCCTTCTCTCCTCTTTGAATTGGCTTATATAGACTATGTACTGTACTCCAGAGATTGTTCTTCATGGGGAAGGGAGAGGCTAAAGACTCACTGACCAAAAGCTAGAGGTTGGAACCAAGAGACTGTCACCTTCTGTCCTCTTTCTCTGCTCTGGGTCTCTGTTTCTCTAGCTCTTCATGATGTGACATCTCCCTGGTGGGTATTTCTTTGTCTCTGTCCCTCTTCTCTCCTTCCCACAAACTATTCAGATAAAACCATACTTGAGGCTCTTTGCTAGGACTGGGCTATGCAGGCAAGGGTCATGTCATGTCTCTCCCACTCCATCTACTCCTGGTGTCTCCAGGATCATCTATTCTGCCAGCAGGAGCCAGAGCTCCATTCTCAGTTCTCAGCCTCTGGAGTCAGAGCCTAGCCTCCTAGGAGTAAGACAGATCCTCTGTGCTGGAAAATGGGGATTTTGTGTCCTGTTCTGTCTAGTCCCATTCCTTTGACACCTGGGTTCCAGCTTATGCAAGCCATCAAGCCCTAGATAATATTACCTCTTCTATTTCTCATTTATAAAGCTTAACCTGGCTCTTACATAGAAATGCCCCAGCAGGTTCAGTTTAGCACAGATGCTAAGCAATAGCCTTTAAATATGCGTCCTTAGAAGAGAGGTCTCAGGGCAGAGATAAATGTTCTCTGTAGCAATTTGCAGTGTTTCTGCTACTTTTCCCTGCAGTTTAGCTCTGCCTCCTGCTTGCACACCTCACCCAGCAAGATAAAAGTTGTGCAGATCCCCAGCCTGCTCTCCTTAGAAGGCAGTTTGTGGAATATCCATGCCCCACGGCATCCCACTGAAATGCCGGTCAGATTGTCAAAGGAATCCTTCAGATTTTCCTGTGTGCCCTTGAGTGCTGTCCAGCTTCATCTCCCTTTTCCTGAATGTTTCTGAGTCTTGTGACTTGCTCCCTCGTCATCGGACTGCTGTGACAGGTTCTAGTACTGACCTGGGACAGTCCCCTTCATCTTTGCTTTTTCTTCTTCCTAAATCAGCACCGAATTTTTCTCTTCCTAGAAATCTTTATTTCTCCACATCTGAGCCTGCTGGACCCTTCCTGTCCCCAGAACAATCTGGCTGCACCTGTTGCCACCTGGGCTCTGTCTGTCAAGTGCTGGCAGGGGACTCAGCTCCTCTGTTAGCCTGAGACCTCTGGGCAGGTACATCTGTGTTCACGCCTGCGTACATATTTCAGCCCAGCCTGTTCCTGGGAGCTGGAATTGTCCTCCTACTTCCTTCTCTCTTGGCTTCCACCCCATCTCCAGGCCTGTCTGAACAAGAGGCTGCAAACTTCCCCTCCTTTCCTCTCTTATCAAGAAGCACTGCAGGAAGCCAGGCAAGTAGGAGTCAGGAGCAGGACTGGGAGGGCCTTCGAGAATGGTCTTCTCCACCCACCCAGACTGCGGTGTGGGGGTGTGGGCTTTCGCCTTCTCTCCTTTCCCTTCTCCCTTCCACACCCAGGTGGGGACCCTGCTCTGTCGCCTGGGGTTTGGGTGGTCATTGTCTCCTGCTTTTAGGAAGCAAGCAGCCCTCTTCTCAGATCCACAGGTCTCTCGTCCAAGAAGTGGCCCAAGAAGAGGCTTTCAGCTTTGTGAGAAGTAGATGTGAGTGGCTGAGAATGGGAGCCTTCAGCTGGAACCTTTGGGCTTGAATCCCAGTCCTGCCATTTCCCAGCAGTGTCTTTGATCAAGTGACTTAACTCCCCATGCTCCCGGTCCTTCTCTGTAGCAGACATTTATAGCAATACCTATCTCACAGGGCTGCGTGGGACCATGTGTCAGCATCCTTGGAGGAAATAAATTTACCCAAGATAGCTCAATTAAATTGACTTTTTGTTAAGAAAGTTATATTTTGTCTTTTTTCCTAGAAAGCACTGATGATCTTCCTTCAGTGTTGAAAGACTTGACTCTTTACATGGGCTGACGGTGGCACCTTTGGTTCTGAACTGGGGTGGGTTGTTTGGGTCTTGGGGCTTTACTGGAACCATTCCTGAAAACTGCTGTGAATGGACAACTAGGGCAGCAACACAGCTACATTCATGGCTCAGGGAGCTCACAGATGTCATGAGCACTTGCTGGAAGAATGTCCCTGAAGGTGGTGGTGTCTGTCATATGTAAAATGATGTACTTCATAATGGCCTTGTCTCAGGGCACTCACTGATGTATGCAGTGAATTGTGTGTGACTCTGGTTCTTTTTGGCGTGATCATTGTTCCTTCTTTTCTTTTGTCATCCTGAAAGCAAGGGCCCAAGAGAGCTACACTGATTTTAATGAAAGGATGAGTGTGTGGGGTTGGAAAAGACCCGGAACCCAAAGTCTCAACAGCATAGGACTAACCCTAGAGTGGTCCAAGGACTAATGCAGTTTTCCAAGACCAAGAGGACTTCGGTGCTAAAACAGGGACAGTCCTGGGACTGTCAGGGCAAATGGGTTGCCCTATGGGGAGCTGAAGAGATAAGAGAAGTGGACCAGATGGATAACAGAGTTGCTGGAGCTGTGGAGGAGGGAGCCCTGGAAGAGCTATAGTTGTGTAGTGAGGAAGCAAATAACGATCCCTAATCTCCCTCCTGCTCTGCTCTCTCGCCTGTGTTTTTTTGTGGTCAATCCAATTGGAAGCAGAAGGCAGGGGAGCAGCCCGCACAGTGACAAGAGGGGAAACAGTAGCTTGGGGGTGGGAAGGGGCTGGTGGAGCACAGTTAGTGTGGAGGAGAAACATGTTATTTGCATGACAAGTGCTTAGGCTACTCTGGGCCAATAAATGCTTCCTAACAATAAGGATTCTTGGATTAGAAAGTTCTGCTTTCCTCTGGAAGCTGCCTTCCCACTCCATTGCTCAGTCCCCAGGCTGGCCCACATTCCCAGGCTGCATGTTAAGGGCTTCATTGCTATTTCCAGGTGGTTTGCTCCCATCTTTTGGATGCAATGGAGTCAGTATTCAATCCTCTCTACTGTTGTGTCCTGCTGGCTGTGAGGGAGTCTGAGCAAGTGACAGTCTCCAGACCTGGGCCTCTGTTATGGATTAAAAACTGGTGGTCAACTTAAAGCCAGCTTAGTTAAATCAACATGGTGCTGAGTGTAGACGTTCCACCTGAGGAACGTTGTCAGCATAAATAGAGATGTGGAGAAGAGTGAGGCATTCTGGGTTTCTCTAAGTGTGGCTGTTTGAGCCGTTGGTTCTCCTGGAGGAGCTTTTCATGACGAGCTTCCCTAGTGTGAGTTCCACCACTGTCATCAGAGGAGCTCAGGACCTTGTTGGTGAGAGTGGCTGTGGTTCACTTTGGGGGAGCTCTGGTCCTTATATCGAGCATTGCTTTCTGGCTCTGGAAGGGAAGACATGTGTTGTTTAATCTCCAGGAAAAGCTTGTCACTCTGGCTTTCTGTCATGTACTCAAATGTTCTTACTATTGGAGGAGCTCGAGACCTCTGTGTTACTGAGGATGGCTGTGGTGCTTTTCAGGACACCCCTGGTCTTTGTTGTGAGTGTGATTTCTTGGCTCCAGTGTAGAATCCTTAACCTATTAGCACAGCTCCTTCACCCGCTAGTATAGATCTTCTAGCTTCCACCTCTGACCTTTGGGCCTTCCCAGCATGGATCTGTAAAACACACTGGTACGAGTCCTTCTCGTGGGCTCTAGACCTCTAGTTGGAACTTGTGGGAGGCATTGCAATGAGCTTTAGGTTTTCATCTGGACTCATGCAGGACATTGCTGTAGGATCCAGGCTCTTGGCTGAATATTCTGAGTCTTTAGTGTTGTGGACAGATTTCCTGCATTTTCTTGTGTTAACTCTGCATGACCATTATAAAATAATATAAATTCTGTGTCCTGATTCTAACTGTTCTCCTTACAACCCCTGACTACAACAACCTCACAGTGACAAGCAACAGCTTGTCCTTCACCATGGAGGCCTGGAGGGGAAGAAGGCACTTTTCCTCGGGCATGTTAAATAATATTTGTGAGTGACCATTGATCTGAAAGAGGCTTGTACATGTAGTAGACTAAATTAACTCTGTGCAACTACAGTTAGCTGAACACTAGGTAATTGCAGGAGGCTCTGTAACCAGTTAATTGATGAAAGTGTCTCTACAGTGCACTTCCATTTCCCATACATGCTGTCAAATTGTGTAATCAATTAGAGTCCTCTAAACCTGCTTTGATTCTGAGGGCTGTCTGAATCACAAAATCATTTAATGTTTTACTTTGCTCTGTTTATAATTGCTTAAATAAATTCTCCAAATTTTAAAATTTGGAGCATTCCCTCCTACCTTTTATTGGTACTAGAGATCAAACCCAGGGCTACTTTAACACTGAGTTACATTCTCAGCTCCTTTTATTTTGATTTTGAGGCAAGGTCTTGCTAAGTTTCTCAGGGTAAGGGGCCCTTGAACTTGAGATCCTTCTGCCCCAGCCTGCCAAAGGTTCTGGGTTTATGAATATTTCCCATTAAGGGCTGCAGAAAGAAGGGCTGAGCTTGTGTGTTTGAGAACAGACTGGAGAGAAAGGGCTGGAGGAGGCCGATTGGCCATAGTGGCCCTGTCAGAGCTGAGCTGGGGAGCAGCCCACCTGGGTGGGAGTGATGCTGTCTCCAAGCAACAGTGTGCTCCAGAGAGTGATGCTGAGCTGCTGCACAATGGTCACCAGCTCCCAGCTCAAAGCCTGCCACAGACAGACAGAGTGCTTGGTGAATATGTGAATGAGTTGTGTGCATGGATGTGTGAATGTGTCTCGGTTGGGGTGTATTTGTTGTTTACAGTTCAACTTCCACTCCCACCACCCCAGCTGGCTGCTGACTCAGAAGCCTGACATCACTCTCTTGCCCAGGGGCAGACAGCATATCTTGGAGCTAAGGCCCCACACAGAAGTCTCTCCTCCTTCACTGCCCCAGAAGAGATAAGGGAGGGTAAAAAAGAGATCCAAGCCTAGGGAGAGGAGACCTTTATGGTGGGCTGTTCTTAGAGGCAGAAGAACTAAGACCCAGCTTAGTGGAGCTTAGTGGAGATTTATCTTTCAGCCCATCTTCCCCAGATGCCTGTATCTTAACTCCAAACAGGGAGGGTAACCTATTAGGCACCGAGGGACTAATTTTGTGAGTACACTTCAACCCATCCCTTGTGGGAGCCAGTTTTAACTTCTTCAAGCAATTGGAAGGCATTTAGAGTCTCCCACTGGCCCTAGGAAAAGATCCCAGAGCCTCTTCAGGGATGGGAGAGGGTTCTCTCTGCCTGCTTTCCTTAGGCTAATTGAGGGTGACTCCTTTGTCAGGGTCCTATGCCTCTGTGTTGGGACCAGGGAGAGACAAACTGGCTGAACATCCCAGATTCAGCTTGACAGAGTATATTGGAGCATAGCAGGTACTGTCCTGGCTCCTCCCCCAAGGCTGGTCTGTCCTCTCTGGGGTCATTCTCCTGCTGAAAGCTAAAGGAGGCAAGGAGGGCCAGTCTCTAGGTCACCTCCCAATCATTTGCAGGCCTACTTTTATAGTCTGTTTTTGCCAAGGCTGTGTTTGGTCCCAGCCATCTGAGGGGGGAAGGGGTCAAGGAGTCAGTGACATAAAGGGCCCTCTGAATCAAGCATTTGGATTCCTGGTAGGCAGGGGAAGGGGGGGGGGAGTGATGAGACACATCATGAGATTCTTGGGGCTTTTGTTGAACATATACCTGTGGGATTTATACAGCTTTTCCAGAACAGGAGTATCTCCACCCACCCTTGGCTCTCTCCAAAGGTGAAATCCCTTCTGAGGAAATCTCCATTACAGGAGAAGGCTGGGATCTCAGTTTATGACTGAAGAACCAAGAAGATGTGGGCTGTGGTCCTAGTTCACAGGCCCTATCTGAGAACCTTGGGCCTTCCCGACCCCTTCTTCGGCCCTCTGCTTGGACAAGGCCTCTCTTTCTTCCTTGAATCTATTTTTGTCCTACAGGGTCTTTGTCTAGTATGTGATGAAAGAACAGTCTCTATAACCATCTCTCACCTGTGCCCCAACACTGGCTCTGCCAGGAGGCAGTAGGCTGTGGGCTGGGAGGCTGGAGCTAAGGCAGGCCTGGGCTATCTCTCTAGCAACCCATTGCCCAATGCTCCCTCCTCTACCACTTACATAGCCCTGAGCCCCAAGGCTTGGCTTACAACAGGGCCCTGGGACAAACCCCACAGAACAGAGCCCCATTGATGGCAGCCATCAGTGCTGGGTGGGAGGAGACCAAGCCAGCCACTGGGTGGTGGACGTGGCCGTGGGAGCCTCTGTCATCTTGCTCCAAATGAGGAGAGCCTGAGGGAGGAGATGGTGGCATCCAACCCAAACATTCTGAGCTCAACCCCAGCTCCAGAGTACAGGTGATGGCTGGGAGGGGCCAACCCTCCTCCCTGGGGTGATGGGGAAGGGGTGTGTATTTCAGAGCCTAGGGGCCAGCCCAGCTAGGAAAAGATAAAAAGGCCATTAGTAGCCCAGCAGCTCACTGTACTCCTTCCTACTCTCAGTCTGCTTTGGTGCTCTGACAGCCATGAGGTCCTCCTTGTCTCGGAAGACCTATGCAACCAAAGGAGGTTTCAGCTCCAACTCAGCCAGTGGAGGGCGCGGCTCTCGGACCCACACCAGCTTCAGCTCAACGACCATGTCCCGGAGCAGTAGCAGTGGTGGTGGGGTCCATTGTGGCCCCCGCATGGGTGGCTTTGGCAGCCGGAGCCTCTATAATTTGGGGGGCAGCAAGAGTATCTCGGTCAGTATGGCCTCCTCAGGCCGGGGTCTTGGAGGCTTTGGCCTTGGCAGTGGGCCCTATGGAGGCCTGGGTGCTGGCAAACAGACATTTGGGCCCGTCTGTCCTCCTGGTGGGATCCAGGAAGTCACTGTCAACCAAAGCCTGTTGACCCCTCTCAATGTGGAGATAGACCCAGAGATCCAGCGGGTGCGCACCCAAGAGCGTGAGCAGATCAAGATCCTTAACAACAAGTTTGCCTCTTTCATCGACAAGGTGGGCTGGGTTGGGAGTGGAGGCTTGGTGTGGAAGCTGGGGCTCAAGGAGGTGGGCCAAAGGGTGTTCTAGCTCACATGCACAGGGTGGGGCTTGTAGAATAACTTTGATCTCTGTCATCCTAATCTTGGAGTCTGAGATTGGATGACCCATCTTCTGGGTCTTTGCTTTAAATGCAAGTGAATCTCTATCCATCTCTGAGGCCTACTGTTCGTTTCCACCTTGACTATGTTGGAATCTTGCTTATCATCATAATTAACATGGTTATGCAGTAGCCCTACCTTACAATTAAAATTGGATGGTTCCTGTTACTCCTGAGTGTGCTAGCCTTTACCAATTTTTATCATTTTACAGCGGGTAGAATTATGGCTCAAGAGTCCATAGATTGCAGGTTGGTCCCTGTATGCCCCTCTCCTCCAAAAGCTGATGTGATCAGAATACAAGTGGGGTGGGGGCGCCAGGGAAGTTCCCATTATTTCCCCTTCCTCTGCTGCATGTTCAAGCTAAGAAGCTCAGTTTGTGATGGACAATGAGGAGGCTGGTCACCATTCGTCACAGCATTTGACCTGTTGCAGAATGTCCTGAATCCTTTATTTGGCCTCAGGCCGATGGGGGTAATTTTATACTGTATTCTCACATCTCTTGGGTCCTTTTCCTGGCATTACTTATCTTGGTCCTGAGCCATAGCAGTGGGGTCATGATGGGGAAGATCTGGGTGGACAATCACATCTTGTGATTCATGCTTTTACAAAGAACATTCACAGCCCTTTCTCATGTGGTAACTTCTAGGGTTGCACAAGGAGTCAGGATATATAAATATTGTACTCTTTTTTAGATAAGAAACCGAGATTCAGAAAAGCCACGTGATTTGGCCAGGATCACTGAGGTCTTTGAAGGCAGAGGAAGAACTGGGAGCTCAGTTTCTAGACACCGTGATTCTTTGCACTGAGAGAGCACCTACCCCTTGGAGTTTGGGGCAGCATCACTGTGGACTGGGGTGCTGTAGAGGCGGGACTGGGGAGAATGGATGGCAGAGGATGAAGGAAACTGCCACGCCCACCTCCTCACCTTCTCCCCAGTTACTTTTGGTTCTTTTGTGGGACTGGCCCAGAGGTCAAAGTGACAAAATCTTTTCTCAGGCTTACAGAATCACAACCTGGAATCTGGGGGTGTGAGAGCTCAGTGTCTAGTGTTTCAAAACTCTGGCTAGGCAGTGTGTGTGTCTGTCTCCTTCTGAGTCTGTAGAGGCAGAGTCTGGGCAAAAGTGATTTAAATGAATTTTTAATTTTGAAAAAATGTGAAATTTGAAGTTGCAAGAATTGTACAACATAGTCTTGAATGTTCTCTCAGATTCAGCATTTTAAAAAATTTTGTCACATTTTTTCTTTCTTTTTCTCTCTTCATGTATCTTCAACATAGTACTTGATTTTGGTGCAGAATTAGGGTGTAGAAACTCAGATTAGTCCATTTTATTCAGGACAAGTGAGGAAAGGAGACTTAAAGGGAAACTATTTGACCAAGTTCACAGACCCACCAAGCTGGGGCTTATACATATTTTATCTTGCAGATTTGACTGTCATCCCAGTGGGGACTGCTCTCTAGCAATGTGCAGGTGGTGCTGCACTGCCCCTGTCAGGCTGGGTTGGGGTGATGGTGGGCCTTGTTCTGGGCCCCTCCTGTGGCCAAGAATGACACTTGCCTGCTGGTTCTTCTTTTTCTGGCTCAGGTGCGCTTCCTGGAGCAACAGAACAAGGTGCTAGAGACCAAATGGGCATTGCTACAGGAACAGGGACAGACCCGAGGGGTAACCAGGAACAACCTGGAGCCTCTCTTTGAGATCTATGTGAACGGCCTGCGGAGGACTTTGGAGAACTATCAGGGCGAGCGGGGGAGGCTGGACTCAGAGCTGAAGAACGTGCAAGAAGGCCTCGAAGACTTCAAGAACAAGTGAGGAGAGCTGCCCTGTTCCCAGGGTCCCGCTGGTGCTCAGGTTGAGGGTGCTGCTGCCTGGAGAATTAGCATGTTGTGTGTTGTTATTTGAAATTAAGTGTTCTTTTAATAAGGTGGTGAGAATAGAATACCAAACCCAGTGTTCTCACATCCACTTTAATAATTATTGACTCATAGCCAGTCACATTCAATCTCACCCCCTCCTTCCTTCCATCCCACCTTAGTGCTGTCTTGAAGCAAATCCTAGCCATCATGCCATAGATTCACAAATGTTTTTCTAGTCATATTCATATCATAATCTGCCTCACTTATTAAGTCATAAACTCAAAACTATAGTCATACCTAAAACTTTTAAAACAGTAATTCTTTAATATCATCAAATATCCAGCTGATTTGAAATCTTCAATTCTCCATAAATGTCATAGATGTAGAAAATACAGTTTGAGTCAAGCTTCCAAGTAAGTTTCAGCTATTGTACTTGGTGGACATATGCGTATGTATATTTACAAATTTAAGGTCCAGTTTTTATAGCTTTTCCTATAACACCACACGAGTGATTTCTATACCTTGAAGTCTTAGCAAATGTGGTTGGCAGGAGTGACTGCCTTCAGGGACTGAGAAGGTTAAGTGTTGCTGGCACATCTTCTCTTGTTCCTGCAGATTCCTAAGGGCTTTGATCCAGAGATGTAGCTGCTCTTGATTGCTTTTCTGTAATTTATTTGTTGTACAAATTCTGTGCCTCTTTCCTCAAATAGGGATGGGAAGAGAGAATATTTAAGTAAAAGCAGTGCCTTAAGTTTTTTTTTTACTGGTTGGCTACACTGAAGAACTGTTTTTCCAAAGTGTCCTTGGGGTATGGGGTTTCCATTTGGGCTTCTTAAAGCTGAGTGGGCCCAGTGCCTAACAGGCAGAAAGGGGCTGAGCCTGGCCTGAGCCTTTCCTGTGTATCAGGTATGAGGATGAAATCAACAAGCGAACTGCTCTGGAGAACGAGTTCGTGGTGCTCAAGAAGGTGAGCAGGGTGCAGGGGACTGGGAAAGGTGGGTCTTTGGCTGTGAGGGTGCTGGCTTGATTGGGAAAGATGTAAGACCCTGGAGGGCTGAGCATTTGCCTCTCTCCCTCATCTCCAGGATGTGGATGCTGCATACATGGCCAAAACGGAACTGCAGGGAACAGTGGAGTCCTTGCAACAGGAGATTGACTTCCGGCACCGCCTCTATGAATTGGTGAGATGGAGAGTGGATGGGGTAATTTGCATTCATTTGCATGCAGCACTGAACATGCAGTATTTGCATGCAGCACTGAAGGTTCTCCATGGAAATCTGACCTGAGTACATCAGTGTAAACTACCTGGTAAAGATGAGACCTTGACATTTTTTATTTTATTTTATTTTTTGACATTTTTTAATGAATGCTGCTTTCCATGTATTAAGTGCTCTTGATGGACCAAGCTTCTCTAATTCCCTCAGTTCCACAGGGTAGGTACTATTTTGTTCTCCACTTTATAGTCATGGGCACTGGGGCTCCCAGTAACTTAGTGGTCACAGAGCCAGTAAGAGGTGATGTCAGGATTCAAACTCTGCTGTTGAACTCCAGCACTGGGCTCTAGTTACTCTTCTCTCTTCCTGCCCCTTTTGTAATGGAGGAGAGGACAGAGCAGCAGATGCAGAGAGAGGAGGGACTGGATTCTAGGTTGGAGCAGTGCTGGATAGATCAAAGAATCCCGGAGGTATCAAGGGGCCTTAGAGACTAAGGTTAGAGGGTTGAAGTTAACATGAACTAATCAGAGAATCATTAGTCTGAACATTAGAAAGGACCTCAAGGTGCAAGTTTATGTCCCCAGGGCACGAACTCTTTCTATGACATCCCTGACAGGTATAGATAGTACTTCTTATGACGGGGAGTTCACTGTCTTTGAGGGAAGCCTTTCTTTTTTTCTTCTTTTTATTCTCAAGCCAGTGTTTCTGTATGTAGCCCAGGCTGGTCTTGAACTTGCAATCCTCTTGCTTCAGCCTTGCAAGCAGCTGGGACTACAGTTGTGTACCATTGTGCCTGACCTGACATAATGTGTTTCCTACTACAGCCTTTTAGAGGGCAAGTTGATTAAGGAACAAAAACCTATGGCTTGTGAGGGAGTTCAGGAAACAGGGATCCTAGGGAAGTTTTTAGAAAATAGAAGAGCAGGGAGAGACAACGTTTGTATAGCTTCATGTGGTACTAGTTTATGAATTAACTTCAGAAATATCTCCATCTTATCATATTAACTCCTTCATTAACCCGTGGAGTTTTTCACACAGGTACTTCACAAGGAGGCATACATTCACTCTCAGCCAGCTTCCTTAATTTGGGTAGTTGAGATTTTGAAACAGAATGTAAGAATTAACCGTTCCTGGCTAGGCACATGTGGTGGCACATGTGTGTAATCCCAGGACTCAGGAGGCTGAGACAGGAGGATTGACACGAATTTGAGGCTAGTCTGGGCTACATGGTGAGTTCAAGGCTAACCTGAACTACATTGTGAGAATGTGTGTCAAAAAGAGAGAAATGTGAAGTGATATTTTGTGGTTTCATCAAATCATTTTAAGACTATTTATTTATTTAAAGATAGGATCTTGCTAAGTTGCACAGGCTGGCCTCAAACTTGAGAGTTTTCTTTCTCAGCCTCCTGAGTGGCTAAGATTACATATGTGGGCCACCATGCTGGGTTCACATGGCACTTTGAAATTTGATTCTCCTGCTCAATGTATTAGTGATGCCCTGCTTTGGGTCATCTGCAGACGTGATGAACTTTCTGTTTAGTTCTTTGATAATACTTCAGTGTAAATCATTGGCACTCAGGTCAAGGTGGTCAAGGTCAAGAACTGAGTCCTAGGAGTCTTCAGTGGTGGCTTTCCATTGGGCTATCACTCTACTGATCAATAATGTGTAAGGTGCCTCAGCTATTCTAAAATTCACTTAAGCAGACCATCATCTGTAGCATATTTTTTTGGTCTTGTTTTGGAGAATGTAAGAAATACTTGGTCAAACAATTCCCCTGGCAAGCTTCTGCAGCTTAATAATATAACAGGAAGGAAAATATAATCCATTTTGTTTTTCCCTTTGGGAACTCTTATTTTTTTGAGACAGGATCTCACTATGTAATGCAGGCTGGCCTTGAACTCACTTGAGTAGTCTAGGCTGAGCTTGACCTCACAGAGGCAGTCCTGCTACCTCCATGCCTGGCCCTTAGGGAACTCTTGATGGCTTTGTACATCCATAAATATTTTCTAATGTATTCTGGAGGTTTTTAAGGTTTGACATCCAGTTTAATTTGGAAAATCTGAAGTCTTTCTTTGAAAATCAGGACATTTGTAGCGTTGGTGCTCTAAAATCTTTCCTCCTTTTTCTGTTTCATGAGGATCACTGGCTGTCCATTCTGCTGGGCTTCCTCAATGATCCCTTAGGATCTGCTCTCCTAGGCTGGGCCACTGAGATCCCAACCATGTCAAGGCCTCATACCTTCCATGTCTGTGCGGGTTTCTACTTCCTGAAGCATATTTGCTGCCCTTTCCACATTGATGACTTCTCCATGATGGAAATGAAGCAAATGACAAAGCAGTTGAGTTGTTGGCTTTTCTTGGTCTTCAGCATGGATTAGCTCAATGGTACTTGCCTTATTCTTCTTCTCTTGAGCCTATGTGTACCAGCCTGAGTGTTTCCCTGGCTTCTCCCTGGTTGTACTGCTCTCCATTAACATCTCTCCTTATTCTGCATGTGTGGAGCTCTCTGGAGAGGACTTGAGGCACTCTACAGAAGTTTCAAGAGGTCTCCCCAGGTTCTTCTTTGTTGAGATGATGGATGGTTCATGGATTAGGGCTTTCTTGTCCTCTCATAGGGTCTGTTCTCTCTTTCCTTTTCTGGATGTTTTGACCTTGCTAAGACTCATGGCAGATCCATCCAGCATTCCTTTCCATTGCTACCCCTTGTTCATTTGATAAATATCTGCCGAATACCTTCCATATAGCAACCAAGACAGAGTCCTTATCTTTGGGGACAAGTTATCAAGTGTTGAGAGCTGTGCTGGGGACAGCCACAAGGTGCTGAGGCACAGAGAGGAGGCTGTGGCTGGCCCTTCTTGGGAGGACTGGGGGAGCTTTTGGAGGAGATGACATTTGAGTTGGGTCTTAAGGAAGGGCTGGACTTCTGAAGGAGTAACAGGGAGGGTCTACCAGTCAGGGACCTGCCTGTGCAGGTCACAGATGTCAAAGAACACAGGTAATTGGCAGGCTGGGCATCGAGTGAGGGAAGAATTAGGTGGAAAACTGGAAAGGAAAGGTGAGCTCCCTACCAAGCTGGGGCCATTTTTTGCCCAAGTGCCTTATTCACCATCCGTGGTTTTTTGTGGCAAGAAGGAAGACCAGGACAGTGGTCCCTTTGTTACCTCATGGGATTTGTCAGTTTGAAACTAGTCTCCTTATTGCTTTGTGACTTGGAACAAGCTACTCGATCTCCAGGGGATTGGAAAGGACATGTGATGTGCTAGTGCCTGTTAACTGTCTAGCCTGGTGTCTGAATTATACAGCAAATACTCAGTGAATGAAGACAGTTGTTATCCTCTTTCTTCTGAACATAATACCCTGTGCTGTCATGTGAGAAACACTGGAGATGGGGCCAGAATATAGAAGGTATTGACCTTTAGAGGGAGGACTGCCTCTCAGGGACCCTCCGAGGAAGACTTAAGTCAGTGGGTGATTGGTCAGACTGGGGCTGAAGACTATTTGGTGGTGGCCTAGAAGGGATCACAGGAGACAGTGAGGCAAGGCCCACTGGAAGCCAGTGTAGCTATGTCCTAGTACCCAGCATATGAGCTCTCTACTGTCTACTGCCTTCTCTGCTGTCATAGCACCTTGCCTTCTTCACTTAAAAGTTCTGGGCTGACTTTCCTAAGGTGTGGGCTTTAGTTTTGCATATAAAAGCAATGGCCCTAGAGATTCAGGAAAGGTCCAAGAGTATCACACATCTAGAGAGATCACAGGAAACTCCTCAGCTTTGTTCTTCAGCTGGTTGGTTTCACCTTGTGTCTGGTGGTCTGATATGTGTCACTTGTCTTCTGAGCCTCTTTCCTCACTTGCTAGTTGTTGCTTGCAAGGAAGACTGGCTTAATATCACATGCTCGTGGGCAGGGCCACTGTGCACCGGGTACAGGTGGCCAGCTGGTTGGCACTAGCTGCCCCCACATCTCCCAAGGTGACATGCAAGCCCAGCTGTGGGCCTGTTGCCTCACAATGATCTGAGGATTAAAAGGACCATGAATGTATTCCGTGCCAGGCACCAGCACAGGGCAGGAAGCACGTGTTCCCTTTCTTCTGTGATCACTCAGAGGCCTGCAGATTCTCAGAACCAAATGAAGTCTGTGGAGATGGGAGCCCATATCCCAGCCAGGGAGATGAAATCTCTTCCTAAGTTGTGGTTTGCCTCTAAGGTGGAGCCTGAGAAGTGGAGTGGCCCTTCTAATGCCATCTGGGGGGCCCTATCTGCTTGCCCAGAGCCTGCGTTTGGGACACTGGTAGCAGCTGTTTCTATTTCTTCAGGAGCTGAGCCAGGTGCAGACCCATGTGTCTGATACCAATGTTGTCTTGTCCATGGACAACAACCGAAACCTGGACCTGGACAGCATCATCGCTGAGGTCAAGGCCCAGTATGAGCTGATTACCCAGAGGAGTCGGGCGGAGGCTGAGGCTTGGTACCAGACAAAGGTGAGACAATGGCTGTTTCAGGTGCAGGGACTGGGAATGGACTCAGACTTCCTCTGCTGGGAGAAACCTGGGTTAGGCAGACCCTAGCACTTCTGGGAATCAGATTCGCTCAGTCTCCATAGGAGCCTCCAGCATCAAGGACAGGCCCTGGGATCAGTGGTTACTCATGGGGGCTGGGGCTCTCTGCTACTTACTGCCACTTCTTTGGCCTCCAGTACGAGGAGCTGCAGGTGACAGCTGGGAAGCATGGAGACAACCTTCGGGACACCAAGAATGAGATTGCTGAACTCACCCGCACTATCCAGAAGCTGCAGGGTGAGACAGATGCAGCTAAGAAGCAGGTGAGTCTCTACCTGGGGACCCTGAGCTCAGGCTTGAGTGCTGGCAGTGCTGCAGGGCCTTCTCATTGTCATCTGGAGGGGCAAGAGCTGCTCCTATTCTGACAGATGGGGGAATTCAAATGGTGGGCCAAGATTAATGTGCTGTTTTTAAAGGAGAAGAAATGGGCCCAGAGAGGGGAAGGGACTTGTAAGGCCACACAGCATATAAACAGTAGATCAGGTGGAAAAACTTCTTTTAAGGGCTGATCTGCCCATCTTCAGGGTGTCAGAGCAGGAAGGAGTCTGGGGCTCCAGGATACAGATTACATATAATGATCCTGTCAAGGGTGAATTGAAGTGTGAATTCTTCTTCATATCAGAATGAGGCATTTAGCTAACAGTGAGGTTGTTTCACTTATTTTTATGTTCTTCTGAAGCACTGATTAGATGTCGTTAAAGGCTTCCCTAGTGCTGCTACTTGATCCTGCTGTCTAATAACATTTCATCTCTCAGATGTACATTTCTCTTTTCATTCTTTCCAAGTTGGTTGGGTAAGGTGTGGGGATGGTGATGCCTGGCTTGAGGACAGAGAGATGGGAAGGGGGGTATTCCTAACCCCTCTCTCCTCTGGGCAGTGTCAGCAGCTACAGGAAGCCATTGCAGAATCAGAGGAGCGTGGAGAACTTGCACTGAAGGATGCTAAGAAGAAGCTTGGGGACTTGGATGCAGCTCTGCACCAGGCTAAGGAGGACCTGGCCCGGCTGCTGAGTGACTACCAGGCCCTTTTGAATGTCAAGATAGCCCTGGACGTGGAGATTGCCACCTACCGTGCACTGCTGGAGAGCGAGGAGAGCAGGTGGTGATTCCTCTCCCCTGATGGAGGACTCCCAGCACCATGTTGTGGGGAGCTCATGTAGTCTGCCCCAGTGCTGGCAGAGGGGGTGGGAACACCAGGGAGCAAGACTCCCAACTTGCCTCAAAGGGAGCTCCTTCCTGTGTTTCCATCTCTGCTGCCCATGTGGATGACAGAGCCATCTGTAATCCTTGGGCTGCTGGCACTCCTATGAGAAGGAAGCCTTCTCTTCCAATCCCAGATTCCATCATCAGTGGAAACTTTGAAATTAAAAAAAAAAAGGAGATATTTTTTCCTTGGGAGAGGCAGGAAGCAGGAAGCAGGAAAGCAGAGAAGTGGGCAGTTCATAGTGGGCTTGGTCTCCCTTGGTCAGGGCTGCTGTCCACGATGCTCACAGGGAGCAGGTGGAGGGAAGGGGATGAGTGGGACAGCCAGCTGGCAGCCCTAGGTCTCCTACAGCACTGGCTTCAGGCCCTGCTGGGAAGTCCATGATTCTTGGTACAGCCTCCAACACACACTTTCACGTCTCCTGCTTTTGTCACTGGACCCTGCCACTGAGCTAGTCCTCCATAAAGGGAGAGGGAGGGAAAGGGCTTGCACTTGGGTTCTTGGGACTACTGACCGTGTCCTGGTCTTTTTGCTTCCCCTAGGATGTCGGGAGAATGTCCCAGTGCAGTCAGCATTTGTGAGTATTTGCTGTGTAGTTCCAGCCCCACCCTTGGCCTGGCCCCAGAACTCTGCCTTGTTTCTCTAACCCCAGAACTCTGCCCTGTTTGCCTTAAAGTATGCTTCCTTCTTTGAGCCCCCGGGACAAGGACACAAGGTCCCACAGAGTGAGCTCTCTGTTCGGGGTTTCTCTGCCCAGGTGTCTTGGTTCTGCTGTCTGGTTTCTGCCCCCTCTGCCCAGGCCGTTACTGAAATGGTTTCCCTGCCTGACTCAGATCCTTTTCCTTGCAGCTGTGACTGGCAACTCCACCACCGTGTGCGGAGGCAGTGCAGCTGGCTTTGGGGGTGGCATCTCCCTGGGTGGGGGTGTTGGAGCCAGCAAGGGTGGATTCAGCACCAATATGGGCTGCGGCACTGTCAAGGGAGGTCCCTCTGGGGGCACCTCCATCCTGCGAAAGACCACCACGGTGAAGACGTCCAGCCGGAGGTACTAGCCACTGAGTCTTGCCAGCTGGGACCCGTATAGTCTTCCCTTGGTCCCACTCACCCATCTCTGCTTTGCTCCCCACCAAATCTTCTTATGAACAACCCCAGGGACCTCAGATTCAGGGTGTTTCATACCCACACTCTTTTTTTTAAAATTTTATTTAAAAGGAAAAAGAGAAAAACACAAAACAAAACAAAGTGGTGTAAGGGTACAAGTAATATAAAAAACAAAAACAAAAACAAAAAAACAAACAGTAAGAAATCACCAGTTAATAGATTACATATTATCATCTTAGAAACATACCCACACTCTTTGTACACATTTGTATTGGCTGAAAGGTACAAATCTACCCAGGTTTTCTCCTTGGTTGTGGGATGAGATGGGAGGGAAGCTTAGGGTCACTTGCTTGCATGATGTGCTTGGGTAATTTGGGGGTGACTTTCTGGTCACTGGGAGAAGGCTAGATATTCTAGGTCACCTCAGCTTCTCTCACCTCCTTTAGCCATTTGCTCTGGATCCAGGACAGGCTAATAAGAGGGTAATGAGAGAGGGAAGTTGGAAGTAGTTCCTAAAGGCTCTTCAAACCCTTCAGTCTCCTACCAGACCCATCAATTCCCTGAGTCTACCCACATCTCTGTAGCCTTTTGTGCCTGCAATGTGTCTCAAATAAATAGCAACTATATCTGTCTGGTTGTGGCTCAGTCGGTTCTGTTTTGGGGACTTGAAGTTGCGTCAATTTTTGTAATTTTTTTTGGTCCTGGGAATCAAACTCAGGACCTTGCACTTGCAAAGTTATGTCAATTGACTGGCACCTGATGGTTGAGGTAGTAACCACTACACACTCACCCTGTCTCAATAATTCTGGTTTGAGCCCATGATCTCAGTGCCTCTATTCTTCTAGGGCTCGTGCCTGATGTGCAGGAGGAGCCTAAGGTTCAGGGCGTGGATGTAAGTAGCTGAACACAGGACCTCGCTGCTGGGTGGCTGCTTACCACTCAGCCCACCCCCTGGTGCCCATTCAGCCCTACCTGCTCTATGAGGCAACTTCATGATTAGCTCAATGCAGAAGTCCTGAGCTTCAGAATATGGCTCATATGGGTTTAAATTCCAGTTCTTCCACTTACTGGCTGAATTACCTCAGATAATTCACTTATCCTCTCTAAGCTCAACTTTTTTCCTTTGTAAAATCAGGGTTGTGAGAACATATGTAAAGCATTTGTTTTAGGAGAGGGACTCTCAAAAAAATTGATTCTCTTTGGTTTCCTTCCCTCAGCTTCTGGCTTCCCAGCACATCCTCTTGAGGTCAGATGATTTCTCTCACAGCCCCATATTCAGCATCAATGCGCAACCAAATTTAATTGGATTTAGTGTGTTGCCCAAGAATTTAGCAGAATATCCCATTTTACAGAGAAGTCAATCAAGGCCCTCAGAAATCACCTTCATGCCCACAGCTACACAATGATTAGGGCAAGATAGTGATGCAAATTCAAACCCTCTCTCCTTTGTCCACTGGAACACCTTCATGCTCTGCCCCTGCTTCTGTGTCTCCTCATGTCTTGTGGCCTTGCCTCCATTGTGCCTTGGGATCACCTCCTTCCTCTTCAGCTCCACAACTCTTCACTCCAAACATGGTCCCCACGCCTCAGCCTACACCAAAGTAGTTTTACCTGGCTGACCCTGGTGGGCTGCTCTGCCTGCCTGGGGTGACTTTCCTGACTGTTGGAGGCTTCAGGCCAGTATACGAGGAGGCTGCTTACTTTTAGCTTGCTCACTCTTTTTCCTTGGGGAGCTGGAGGGCCATATAGTCCTCTGCCAGGGCTGAGCTGCAGAGGATTCTGGGAAAGTCCTGAGCTTGCACAGATAGAGCTCAGGCCAGCACTTGGCAAAGTTGGGGCAGTACCGAGTCCGGGAGGCAGGCACACTCACAGGTCTATGCTTCTGTTCTCAGGGGTTTGGAGTGTAGATCACTTTCCACGTGCACTCTTTTATGGATGATAAAGTTTCTGGAGACCCTCCTGTGTACTGTGGAGCCTCGAGTTGACCCAATTGTCCCAGTAGCCCATGACAAACTCTTATTTCCATTTGGCAGATGAGGAAAACAAGGTCCAGAGTGGTTAAGTCTAGAGTCACACAATTAATAAGCAACGCAGTTGGCGTGTGAAATCCAAGCAATCTGATTCTAGAGGCCAGGCTCTTAATAACCAGGCTATGCAGGTTGTATAGAAAAGGAATGTAAACCTGTGTGTGTGTGTGTGTGTGTGTGTGTGTGTGTGTGTGTGTGTATGTGTGTGATGCTAGGGATCAAACCTACGGACTTGTGTATGCCAGGTGAACGCTCTTTCTGTGAGCTATATCCCCAGTCCTAGAGAAAAAACAAATAGAGAAGTAGAGGATGCTAGAGTCAGAAGGAGCATTGGATGTTTCTAGTCCAGATTTTGGAAGAACTTGTCTAAATGCTACAATAAGCTAATGGTAGAGTAAAAGGAAATCACTGAAATTAAGTTTAGGATTTAGAAACTGAACAGCAGAGACAGTTTTAATTATCAGGCTAAAACTCAGCAGTCAGGAGGCCCCAGTAACAACATGTCATTTAGAAATATTGCTTATCCTCTATCAGGAATGTTTTGCTTAGAAATACGAATTTTGGGTTCCTACAAAGAGTTTCTGGGGTGCTTCTTCATGAGTCTGGGTAGGCTAGTATGCTGCAGAGCTCATGGTCCTTCCTCTGCACCTACCATAGCTTCTCTCCTTCTATTTGTGTCACACAGCGGTTTGTATGCTAAATGCAGGGACACATGATGGTAATTCCTGCCACAAGTCTGAGGCAAGAGGATGGAAAGTTTGAGGCCAGTCTTGGCATCCTAAGAGACCCTGTTTTAAAACAAAGGAGGAGGAGGAAGATGAAGGAGAGGGAAGAGAGATGTTTGTACACCTATTTTGTGCAACAATAGTTTGGTGAGGTCAGAGGGGCTGTTCTTCGGTCCTGGGAAAGGGGAGCCCTAGGCACAGACCCCTTGTGACTGATCCCCACTCTTGCTGCCCTCCTGGTCTCCTTCTGAAAATCCTGATGGCTCTTACCTAGGAATCTCTGATTCCCCTGCTCTAGCTCCCAGAGAGTGACTCAGGCCTGTGCGACAGTTGGAGTTGGGTGATTGAAGGGGCCAAGGGCAAAGGCATGATCTAGCTGGGGAGGGAGGGGAACTTTCCCACACCAGACACCAGGTTTGGGGCTGACTGGCAGGAGCCTCAGGATCCATAATCCTAGTTGAATGTGAGGGCTTTTCTCCCTCATCAGAAAGCCCTGGGCAAACACACCCTCCTTTTCTACACCTGCAGCAGCTCGTTCCTCTGTGTTGAGTTTAGAACAATTGCCAAAGGCATAGGGGTCACAGTGGGCAATAGGCAAAGTGGTGTGTGTGTGTGAGTGGGGAGCAGGGGTGAGCTTTTGGCTGTCACTGTCAGATAAAACCTTCTGTCACCCACTTCTGGCCTTGTAGGAAGGAGAATCTTTTCTTATCATAGGCTGTAAAGTGGTCTTGCTTTGAAAGTTCTCCCTTATATCTGCCTTTCATTTTTTATCCTCAGACTGAGGATTTTGGAAATGTTTAGCAATTCTGATTTAATAATAAGACACCAGGATGTAACTTCAGATTAAAACTCCCTATTTGATCTGGCTCTATCACAGGACTTGCAATTAAATTAATTCAAGGGTTATTAATTGGAGAACACAAGACTACCCCACCCCAGAGAGTGTCATACCATAGGGATTACCTGAAAGAATAGGGCCACATACACCAAGCACACAATCTTGTAAAAAGAGTAATGACAGAAAGGAACTGGGCCATGTCAGTGGAACATATGTGTTGTTGGTGGTTCTGTATAAGCTTCTCTCAATCTTTTCTTTCCCCTGAAGATTCTATCTATGGCAGAGTCACCTATGTAAAACCTTGTGGTACAGAAGTTAAAGTTGTAAGCTTTGATGTCAAAGGGCAGGCTTCCTGTATTTGTTACTTCCTAGCTATGTGATCTCAGGCAAGAAAGTCTTCAATCATGACTCTGTGTTTTGTGCCCCACCATCACAAAATAAGATTGATTACATATTATACAAGATTTCTCTGAAAATTCTTCTTCTCTTGGCTTGTTCTTTTTTAAATCCAACACAGACACAACTCTAGACACAGCACTCCTGCAACATTTTCTTATGATGTTGGAGTGTTACAGACATAGGTACAAGATCCCAGGGACAGGTCATGAGCTTCCCTGGGCTTTGTCTTTGCTGATACAAACTCTCCATCAAGTCCTTAAGGGTCTCCATCTTCTAGTAAGTGCAGAGATGGAGGTAACACCCCAGTGACCCTCTTCTTCTTTGGGGAGCACCCTAGGAAATCAGATCTCCAGTGATGAGTCTGCTTTTGCAGCCTCTGAGATGTGGAGTAGTTTTTGTCTTCCTTGCATACCCAGTGCTTAGGGATAGGGTGATATTGGCAGACCTTGATCCCTTTGTCCCACACCAGGTGGCCCAACCATGTTTGTTCAGAGTCTGATTCTGGACTGGCTGAGTCATACAGCAGAGAGCCTGGCTTTATACCAGGCAGCATGGTCTGGTGAGATAGAAGCCATGAGGCCCGAAGACTTTGGGGTTAGACCATGTGGGCTCAAGTCATGGCTCTACCACATGCTATTTTACCCTTTGGAGCATCCATAAGCAGAGCTAATGCTACCAACTGCAGAAAGCCTTTAAGGAGACTCACTGACCTGCTATAAGCACATTGGGTATCCAGTATATGGCTTGGCTCAGGAAATTCTGGTGGGAAGCACGCTTGAGTGTCTAATTGCTTTCCTGGTTGGAAATGGGTCCTTCTCATCCAATAGGAGTGGTCCTGGTTCTGGAATGCCCCCTCATGTGGTGGACCAACCCATTGCTCTAGTCTTCTTTTGTGGACACTTGATGGAACCTGGGACTCTGATCCTCACAGCCACAGCCCCACCACCTCTCCAGTACCCAGAGGCCATCTGAGCAGCCATAGGGTGAGATTAGCCAGGTTGAGGCAGAACAGAGATGGAAGGAAGGAGAAGGAGCTGGTTGAGCTCTTAGTTGTTCTACCTCGTTCCTGGGACCTGGGTCCCTGACCACCCTCTCCTCACCTCAAGACTCACTCTGTCACATGGACGAATCCAGTCACTTTTACTGTGGCCAGCTTTCATTAGCTTAGGCCTGTTGGATTATCCAGATGGTGGCCCCTGGTCTTTCTCAGATCTGGGGCCATTACCTCCATGAAGGACTGAGGAGATGAGGAGAACATAGGTTCATCTAATTTCTCCTAGTAAGTGACAATGACAAGGTCTGGAATGGGAGAGAATGTGTGCCTAGTGAGCTCCTGTGAGGTAGGTACTATAGCTACATTATCTCATCAGTGTAGTCACATTTTATAGATGAATATATGGCTTAGAATTGTTCAGGAAGGTTAGATGATCTGCCTAAGGCTGGACAGTTAGTGGCAACAGGTGAAATCTGAACACAGTTCTATTGTTTTCAGTGGGAAAGAAAAACTGCAGCTTAAAACTGGGATTTTTGCATATATAACTATGTCTCTGAGAAGGGGCCCTTTGGTGTCACTGTTCTGCCAAGGCACCCCCTTCTAAGTTATGAATTTATGTCCTGAATACTGGGGCCATTGTTGGAATCAGAGCATGCTCTTTTTCTGTAGAGCTAAGCAAATCACAGAGCAAAGAAGGGAGCAGCTAGCAGTACCCATCAGCGCTGACTTGGAGCGGGCTCTGCTAGCATTAAGAAAACAAACCCATGGAAGCTAAAGAAGCAGAAGTCCTGAGCAGAGGACCAGGGTCTAAAACAGGAGGTGTGTGCCACCTCCTATCCCTACACAGTACCTGGCTCTCTGCCTGGCTGGTCAAGGCGAGAGACATCTGGATGTTGGCCCCTCTTATATGTGCATAGGGGCCAAGCCCACCTGGAAGAAGAGGAACGGTGGTGACAGCAAGTGTATGCACAGCCCTGACAGTGCACTAAACACTCTGTTAGTCGTGGCCCACCCTGGCCTGGAAAGTGATGGAGGTAAATATTTGTGTTATTTTCAATTTATGAGTGCAGTGACTGAGCCACAGAGGGTGATTTACTCAAGGTGTGCTGAGTGGGCAGTTGGTAGCTCATAAACTTGAACCCAGGCCCTTGAATCCAAAATTCTGCTGTGGAAGACACTGGTGATGTGATTCCTGCCTGAGTAGGGACCACCACAGGGCTACTGAAGTAAGAAAGTAGTAGTGGGCCTGCAGGGAAGGGCCTGGGCTGGGCCTCTGACCTGGGAGTTTCTCCTGGAGGGGAATGGGACAGGAGCCAGGAGCCTGTGGCCTCCCAGTGACTTCTGTAGGTGTGTTTAGTGACATGCTTAGCAGTTGTAAGGAGGATGGGCTGGTGCCAAAGGCCAAGCCCAGAGATATTTTGGATTTTTCTCTTTATACCCCTGCAACCAAGCCCTGCTGCTTCAGCCCATATAAAGGACCCAGGATGAGGGCTCTGGCATTCACGGGCCTGGCCTTCTTACCTCTGTTTGGTAGCTCTGAGCTTGCTCTCCTCTCTCAGCCATGATTGCCAGACAGCAGGGTGTCCGGAGTGGGTCCCGGGCCTTTAGCAGTGGCTCAGCTGTTGTCGGTGGCGGCAAGAGGGTTGCCTTCAGCTCAGCCTCTGTGTCTGGGGGTGCAGGCCGCTGCTCTTCTGGTGGCTTTGGTAGCAGGAGCCTCTACAACTTCAGGGGGAACAAGAACATCTGCAGCGTGGCTGGGTCCCGCCAAGGTGCCGGCTTTGGGTATGCTGGAGGCTTCGGCGGCGCTGGCAGCTTTGGTGCTGGTTTCGGCGCTGGAGGCTTTGGTGGTGGATTTGGAGGCTCCTTCAACGGTCGAGGTGGTTCCGGCTTCCCGGTGTGCCCCGCTGGAGGGATTCAGGAGGTCACCATTAACCAGAGTCTGCTGACGCCCCTCCAAGTGGAGATTGACCCAGAGATCCAGAAAGTACGGACTGAGGAGCGCGAGCAGATCAAGACCCTCAACAACAAGTTTGCATCCTTCATCGACAAGGTGTGTAAGCATCATGTAACCTGGGCTGGAGAGAGGATGCTGAAGCCAGAGCTTCTGTGTCCTGAGATCTCAGATCTCAGCTCCTCTTAGGCAAAAGCCATGACACTTTGCTGGACTTCTGTTTCTACTGTCACTCTGGGTCTTCCTCTTTGCCTCACATTTGTGGGCAGACAGGATGCTCAAGGCTGACCTGCAAGTGCAGCCAGTGGCAAATTGCATATAATGGGCAAATCATTAGCCTTTTTCTGGCTCTAGTAGCCCCAGCTATAAAGTGGTCTTGCTTCTTCTTAGGTTTTAGTTTTAGAAATAACAATAATAAGCATCATCAATTTCACTATTGCAATTTCACTATTTCTTCTGAGGGTAGAAGAAAACTAAACAGGTTTTGCTTATGAAAAAGGAATTGATTTCCATGACAGATTCTGGGTCTCAGTAGAATTTTGGGAAGCCTCCTGACTCTAGGTAAAACTGCTTATTTATGGATCTGTTTGAAAAGAAGAGGAAATGTGACTTTTTTTTCTTCAGTTCTGGGGATTAAACCCAGGGCTTTTGTTAATAGCTACATACCCCAGCCCTTTTAAGATATTTATTCTGAGACAGGATCTTGCCGACTTGCCCAAGTTAGGCTTGCTCCCTTTGACTAAGCGTCCTAGAGCTAAAGGGATGCACTCTCATGCCTGGCTAATGTTCTCTTTTGGAGCTTAACTTCCTTTTTCACACAAGACCTGGAGACTGAAGTTGTGAAAACTCAATGACAGCTAACTATGATGGGTGATAATGAATAGATCATCCTAGAGAGCTGAGTCACCCAAATACCGTGGGGTGGATGAGTAGCATTTGGATTTAGGCTGTCTTGGGTTGCAGGGCATCAAAGTCTTAGGTCGCTTTCCTGTTTGGGACAAAAGAGAATAATCTTGGAGGACAGGCAGACATGAAAGCAAGACTAAGCCTTCTTTAGCACTTTCCTGTTTCCTCTCACTTTATCGTAGCTTTGGTTCAGAAGGTGATCAGTCTCCTTTAGCTGTTTTCTTTTTAATTGGGACGCTCCTAAAGTGGAGATGTCCTCTAAGCTACTTCTTGGCTTCTCTGAGTCTCCTCATACAGGTTCAGGGACACACCACTTCCACTGATAATGAACTTATTTCAAAAGACTTTAATGAAGCATGTCTTTTCTTTGCCTTGGATCAGGATCACTTGAATGCCAAGGCCCCTCTGGTTGTTATCTCCTAACTTCATCTTACTTGGTTAATTAGTAGAAGTTCCATGTTATTCTTTAGTAGCTCCTGTCAGGAGCTCTGTACTGTGTGCTCCTTTCTGAACAGTCCATGGGGCCCTTCACTGACAAAGGCTTGGCAAGGAGGCTGCTATGTGGACTCCAGTGAAAGGTGCCCTAAGAGTTGAAACATGGTGGCCTTGCATGGATGGCTCTTTCCCCACCTGGTTACCTTGGACTGACAGGGCTGATACTGCCCTTGGTTCACCCTCCTGCCTGAGCCTCAGGCCTCATCAATTGGCTGGTTCCCTTTCCAATGTAGGTGCGGTTCCTTGAGCAGCAGAATAAGGTCCTGGATACCAAATGGAAGCTCCTCCAGCAGCAGACAACAACCACATCCCCCAGAAACCTCGATCCCTTCTTTGAAGCCTACATCAGTGCTCTGAGGAAGCAGCTAGATGCCCTGGCCAGTGAAAAAGGTCGTATGCTGTCGGAGCTGAAGATGATGCAGGACAGTGTGGAGGACTTCAAGACCAAGTATGTGAGCAGGAAGTACACTGCTCTCCCCTGTACCTGCTGCTTTCCCATGGCCCAGGCTCCCAGCTGCTCACCAGTGGTTTAGAATCTTAGCCTCTGAAGAACTCCCAAGGGGACCAGGAAGGTCCTCTAGTCTGTCCTCCTATTCCCACACAGTCATGTTTCCTTCCATAGGCTGAGGTGTAGAAACCCCAAGTTGCACTGGGTTTGCCATACACAAATGGGATTGGAAACTGAATGGATGAAAAGCAGAATATATAATAATCAAAAGTACATAGATTATAGAGACCGATGGAGTTGGTTTAAATACTGATTCCTTGTTTATTAGTTGTGTCCTTGGGTAAGTTGCTTATTAGCTGAGTCTCAGTTTTAGAAAAAACTTTAATGAGGATAACATTCTTTGGCTTTCAGAATAGGAATAATATCATTACATTATGGGTTGTGAGAAATAAATGAAATTAAATGAGAGGGAGAAAGTATGTAGCATAGAGCTAAACATAGAATGAACATCAATACACAGTAGCTGTTACATTTCTCACTGTAGTATGGGGCTGGGAAAATAAATACCAACACTTGCTAAACTCACTTATACATCAAACAAGGAGAACTGGAGGTGTAACTTGCACAAATGGGCAGAAGATAGTCCTTCCATGGCAAGAAAATCAATTAGATCCTTGGTGACTTCTCTCCTCACTCCTTATGTCTTGTTAAGTTTTGTTTTAAAACAGTCTTTGTAGGTCTCTGAATAAACCAAGGTCTAGACTATAACCGCAAGGATGGTAATTATTAAGTTACTGTACATTGAATGAATATCATGGGAAATGTAGATAATTGCCAGATATCTCCACACAGATGTTGGAAAATGAATCACAGAGGGTTGAGAAACACTGTCTCATGGTGGACTTCTCCCTCCTGTCCTCACCCCCAGGTATGAAGATGAAATTAACAAACGCACAGCTGCAGAGAATGATTTTGTGGTGCTCAAGAAGGTAAGAAATGAAGAGTAGCAGGGAAATGCTTACAAGGAACCCTCTCCTTTGGTGATTTTCCTTGACTGGAGTCATGAGTTTGTCTAGCTCTTTATCTCTCTCTCACTTGGTGTCATCCAGATCTGTTCTGTCAAAGAAACTGGGTGGCAGAACCAAGTTTCATGGAATTCAGGAATTTTCCCAGTTGTGCAATAAACTTCCATGTTTTCAGGCAGTTGTATGGGCAGCATATGTCCAATGATTGGTCCTTTACCACTCCACCTGGTACTGCTGTATGCTTTTCTTGAATGCAGCTGAGAACACTCTTAATGCCAAATGGTATCCTTCCTCCTGGCTGGAATCCCTGTACCTTACCTCTCCTCCCTCCTCCTCTGTTACAGGATGTGGATGCTGCCTACATGATCAAGGTGGACTTGGAAGCCAAGGTGGACAGCATTAACGATGAGATCAACTTCCTGAGGGTCCTCTATGAAGCGGTGAGGATCCCCTAGCTGTGAGGCTGCTGGTTGGTTGGGAGTCACAGTTCTTACACAAGACTCCTTGCTTCCTTTTGGGGAGTGGCTTCTCAGCGGTGTCCTGCTTGGGAAGGGTTGGAGGGAAATGAGAGATCTAATTCAGACCTTCTCAAAACCAGATGCTGTCTTATACAAAGCTAGATGCCTTATACAAAGCTTGAAGTCCTCCCAAAGAGTGTGTGGGATAGAATTCATTGTGTCCTACCATTTTTCTGGTGAAGTAGATTGGTTACATTCCTTTCCATCCAACACACTGAGCACCCTCTACCTTAGCCATGGAATACTTATGGTTCTCAGGGAGCAGTAAAGACTAAAACATTGTTTTCTGTATTGAAATCACCAGCCACTTGATTTTTACTTAGAAACTTACTCCTCTTCCCACACAAAGGGAACAGTGACTCTGCTTCCATTTGCATCTGTAACAGAGCCATTTGCATGACAACAGAGATCTGGTGAGACAGACTTTCCTGGGGAGCTGATGTGGGACATTTTCCTTTCAGGAGCTGTCTCAGATGCAGAGCCATGTTAGTGACACATCTGTGGTCCTGTCGATGGATAATAACCGTGACTTGGACCTGGACAGTATCATCGCTGAGGTCCGTGCACAATATGAGGAGATTGCTCAGAGGAGCAAGGCTGAGGTGGAGGCCTGGTACCAGACCAAGGTGGGTAATGGGTATGTCAGGGAATGAGGTGTCTCTGGGACTCTTCTTTAGTGACCGTGAACAGGTGATCATCATCTGGAACTCAAGAGCAGTCAGCATTCTCCCAGGCACCATTGTCCCTGTCTGATTTGGAATTGCTTGATACTTTGTGCTCTATTGTGTGTCACCTGTGTGTACTCTTGCTGGACCTCTCCCAGATACCCTTGACCTCTGGTTCTTTGTGTCTGCTTGGGTAATAGGTCCAGCAGCTTCAGACCTCAGTTGATCAACATGGGGACAATCTGAAAAGCACCAAGAATGAGATCTCAGAGCTCAACAGAATGATCCAGAGACTGCGGGCAGAGATTGAGAATGTCAAGAAGCAGGTGGGCACTACTTTACCCCTGCTGAAGTGCAGGCCAAGGGTACTTTATGGTGCACAGGCAGATAGGGTACTGGGCCATAAGACCTTAAACTTGTCTTCAGGGAATTTAGCTCTTTACACATGTCACATCAGCAGTGTCCTAGCTGATGTGACATGTCACTTTAGTACACAGATTTCCTTATTGTTCTTTACTGTTTTTGATCATCTTTATCTTATCAGTATGATGGGGGCATTGGTGGGCTCTAGCTGGAATGAAGGAAACTCTTCAGAGTTAGGGGAAGTAGTGAGAAGAATTCAGATAGAATTCTGATGCCTTAATTCAAGGATAGTTGGCTTAGGATAAGGGACAGGTGAAAAGATCCTGAGAGGAGGGCACTGCTGCTGACCGTCCATTCCTTTGTTCACAGTGCCAGACTCTGCAGACGTCTGTGGCTGATGCAGAGCAGCGTGGGGAGCTGGCCCTCAAAGATGCTTACAGCAAGCGCACAGAGCTCGAGGCTGCCCTGCAGAAGGCCAAAGAGGAGCTGACCCGGATGCTGCGCGAGTACCAGGAGCTCCTGAGTGTGAAGCTGGCCCTGGATGTGGAGATCGCCACCTACCGCAAGCTGCTGGAGGGCGAGGAGTGCAGGTGAAGAGGAAAGGCAGATGGGAAGCTGAGGCAGGAGGAGACCCAGGGCCCTGAGCGTGGGTCTCTCATGGGCTGGTACATTAAGAACCAAGATGGTACAGTTAACAGTGTTTCGCTCAGCTGCTTAGGGGTAGGATAGGTGCATGAGACTGCTTACTAAGGGAAGCATAGCCCTTGGCTTGCTGTGACTCATGGCCTTTTCTTCCCCACAGGATGTCTGGAGAATGCCAGAGTGCTGTGAGCATCTGTAAGTACCTTCTGGCCCTGCCATGCTGTCCCTTTACCCTATTCTGGCCCGAGGGCTCAGGACAATGTGGGGTTAACTGTCTTTTGCTTCTCCTGCAGCGGTAGTTGGTGGTAGCATCAGCACTGGAGGCATCGGCGGAGGATTAAACATTGGCGGAGGATTTGGCCTGGGCAGTGGTTTTGGCTCTGGCTGTGGAAGTGGCTTTGGGTTTAGTGGTGGGGTCAGTGGCAGTTCTGGCAACAAGATCATCTCTACTACTTCCCTGACCAGAAGATCCCAACTATAAAGAAGATGAGATCTCCACAGGCCCCAGTGTTCACCTGGGCTGGCCCTCACGTCCTCACTTTGCTTCACTTCTATCCTCCCTTCTTGGTGCTTGTCTTACCAGGGTCACCTCCACTCTCCCCTGGGCTCCCTCTGCTCCAAGGTGCTCTTTGTGCCTAGGACATCCTTGGAATTTGGTGACTTCTTCTCAATTTGGGCCTCAAGATCCATCTGGAATGGGAACAAGAGCACTGGCAGCTTTCACCTCCCATGGACAGAGGAGAATATGATCAGGAGCTCCATCTCTAGGACTTTCAAGGTTTTACCTGTCCCCATCTCAGCCCAGTGCTGCCCTCCATCAGATCCTGGATATCTGTCAACATCAGAAACCCATTCTCCATCACCTGGCAGCACTTGGCTCTGCAGGGTTAGGATAAGAACTGCTCAGTGTCCTATTCAGCTCTTTGTATTCCTTCCATACAACTTCAGATGACTCTTCAATAAAATGCTTCTGTCATTCATTCAGAGCAATTGTCTTTGTTTGATGGGGAGACATCTCTAGAATTTCATCTAGTTAGGTGAAAGTAGAGGCTGAGGTTTTTGAAGGATATGTTTGTACAGACCAAGCCATCTACTAATTTTTCATATCTCTTCCTCATTGCACAGTTTATCGAGAGTAGAGTACAGTGTGTGGAGCCTGAAACTTGCCTACAGAGGAAGGTAGATTTAAGAGACAGCTAACAGTTCTACAAAGGTTTCCCAGTGTAGAGTAGCCTGAGACAGTACCGTCTCAGGGCTAAGCCTGGAGGTAAAGCTCAAATGTGGAGATGGGGGCGTCTCACAGATGTGACAAGAGGTTGTCTGGGTTGAATGCAGAATAAGAGTTGTAGAACTTATGGTGAATGCTTCTATCCAGTGTTTAGCTAGATTTTGAAACTTGATTCCAGTGGTCCAACAGGGCTTTGACAAGGCTATGGTTGTTGAATAGACAGTGTCATGGACATTGCAAGCCTGTTGTTGCTCACTTCCTTACCTTCTTTAGGCACTGGGTTATGTCTGGGTTGCTGTCCCTGTGTGTGGGAGAAAATGGAGAAGAAGTAAGTTTTCTGGAGCAGTAGAGGGGAATCTTCCTGACTGGCACAGCCTCAGAGACTCTGAAGGTGGGAGAGGATAGTAGGGGAGCATTTGGGTGTCACTTTGGAGGACACCCTGTTTCTATCCTGGGCCAATTCTAAGAGTAGCATAGTCTCCCCTTTTCTACAGAAATACTGCATGGCTTTACATCTGCAGCCAGACCTAAATCCTTTCTGCTACAGGTGTAGAATGTATTCTTTCTCTTGATTGCAAGTGGTGTTTCCCCTTGGGCTTATGGGAGGTCATTCTGACTCCAGTTCCTCAACACAGTGTCCATGAGGGCCTGATTGTGTACAAATGGGACCTCCCCATGGGGCCTCTGAATACACCTTGAAGAAGGCTCAGAGCTGCACTGCTCTAGGAAGCCAAGGGCAGAGAGGCAAGGGTTAATCTATAGGGCTTGTGCTCTCAGTGCAGGGGCCTTCTGCCAAGAGAACTGGCTCTCTGGGCCAAATGGCTCTGTCCTACAAAAGCCCAAGCCTAATCTCTCCATTGTTTGCTCTGGGCATATTGCCCCATGTGTTAGATCAGGAAACATTTGTGACTTTTGTAGCTAGTTGGGCAACTTTGACTTCTCCTACCACTGCACTCCTGTTCTGGGAAAAAGTCCAGTTGGCTCATTATTGAGTTTCTGAGTTCTGGGGAAGAGAGAGAAAGGTTGGAAGCACCAAGACCATCCATCAAAACCACAGCTTTGATGGCTACTATTTTTCTGCTCTCTGAGCAGGGAAGTGTGGGAGTGGTCAGCCTATGTGGGCTGCTGGGTCTCTCAAGGCCTTTTCAGTTGCACTGAAAGATTTGCCCAGCAAAGTTGGTTGCAGATGAAATTTGTGTCAGCGTGTGTCCAAATTGACATGGTTGGTTATATTTGCAGGCAAGTGGCTATGTGTGCCAGTGCCTTTTGTTTATATATAAGAAGGCTCCTGTTGGACATAAAAGAGGGACTCCGTCCCCTTCCTCCAGCTGTGTTGGCCTTTACTCCCACTGAAGTCCAGGGGAGTGGATGCAGGCCAGTGGTTAAGTGGTTAGGAGCTAGTTAGCCCTCAAAGATGACTGTTTGGGGAGAGGGGAAATGCACTGTTGAGATAATATGGGTGTCCAATCCTCTCAGATGCTTTGAACTGAGTTCTGCTCAGCAGTTCATGTTTGCGGCGACTAGAGAGACATAGTTGCATTACCTGCCTGGTGGAGGCCCCATGATCTCTTTTATTCTAAATCTTTCCTTCTAGGTGTATTGAAGTCGCTTTTCCCAACCAAATGACACGTGAGTTGGCATGTCTTCAATTCGACCTATAGGGCTCATCTACCCTGACCTGCACCTCCTGGGCTCGGGCTTTCAACTCTGGTCATAGTTCCTGCAGTGATTTGGCTCAGGTCCCTCCTGGCTTCTAAGCCACTATTACACTGGCATCACTCCCCCTTCCCCAAGACCCTCTGTTTTAGTCAAGTCCTCTCCATTCCAGAAGATCCTTGATTGACACTTCTTAAGTCTCCTTCTCCTGTGGCAGTAAAACTACAAGGATATAGTAAAGAGGGATATACTTGGCAATGTTTCACTGTGGGATTTTGGTTAGCTTTGGGGTCCAGGCTCTGTATTCTAAAGCCAGAGGATCTCAGAATAAGGCTTTTTTATTTTTTACACCACCTTTTGAGTGCATGTTCAGTTATTAGGGCATCAGCTACCTATGGAGGTAATTGAAGGAACTGTGCCCCTACGTGCCCCTCAGGACATGGTCATAGTGGGCCAAACCAAAGGATAAAGGGACAGAGCAGGCTGAAAGAAAGAAGCTATTTTAGCACTTGCTTCAGATTTTTTGGTTTTATATTATTATTTTTTGTCATATTTCAGGTAGGGATTGAGTAGTCATCTCCTTATCGCATAGAGACAAGGCTGGGAGTGGAGAATGTGGTCATAGAAAGTCCAGGTCCTGGTCCTGGTTCTCCCAGGACTAGCTTCATTGCTGCTTTGTTGGGAGCCGCGGCCGAGCCCGGTCGCCTTACTTGGCGGACGTGAGGCCTGTAGGAAAGAGCAAAGCCTGAGCTAGATTACCCCTCCCATCGAGTGAGCCAAAATGGCGCCTGCTTCCTGCCCCCTGATTGCCCTGGCGACGTAAACAACCCGCTCTGTAAGATAGTCTGCCTAGCAACAACTGATGTTAGCCAATCAGCCCGCATCGCGCGCTTTGAACTGATTGGCCACTGTTACCCTATAAAAGTAAATGCCTCTCCCGCCACGAGGGAGAAGCACAGAGCGAGATAGAGAAAGTCCACCGGCGAGAAAGGGCTGGTGGCAGAGCGGAGGCCTCGCGGGGCCCACGCGGAGACAAATAAAGACAAGGTTGCACACCGCCAGACTTTGTCGTGTGTCTTTCCTGCCGGCTGGGAGCGACACCGACACTGCTTATGGTTGTCTAGTTGACTTTGGATTGAGGCATTTGTTTTGCATCTTCTGTTTTTTTTTTTTTTTTTTTTTTTTTTTTTTTTTTTTGAGGCAGTATCTCACTGTGTTGTTCAGGCTGAACTTAAACTCACTATGTAGCCCAGGGTGGCCTTGAACTTGCAGCAAGCTTTCTCCCTCAGTCTCCCAAGTGCTGAGATTACAGGTGTACACCACCACCTCTGGCATGCATCTTTAATTTTTCCACTTTGAGAGCTGTGAATTTGATCCTCAATAATTTGAAGGCTGATGAGAAGTTTAATAAGCTACAAAGAGGCTTTCTTGACGAGAGTTTTGATTGGCATTTGCCAGATATCTGCAGTCCATCCATTCACCCATCCATTTACCCACCCACTCATTCACTTACTCAAGGAAGCACTGGTTTATGAGTTCTTTAATGGCAGGGTCCAAGGCTATATTCATCTTGATATGCCAAGGTCTCTGTGCTTATGCTTACTTTAAAGTGGTTGTTTAAAAAATACTAAGTGAATGAATACTTTTTGATTGAGTGCCACATCTATGCTAGGCAATGGGGACCTAAATATAGAACAAGAATCAGACTTGCTTTCAAGTTATATTTGATGATCATGTTGAAATAGAAGTGACCAGGTAGCCAGACAAATGAATGAATCCCCAGAGCATTGCTGACAAAGGTCTAGACAGTCCAGAGTTGAGTGAAATGGCGTTTAGCCTTGGGTGAGGGCTTGGCAATCATAGGAGCCTTCAGGAGGGAGGTGATGTTTAAGTGGAGTGTTGAACAGGCAGGGCTTGGATGTAGAGATGGAGGCAAGTGCTCTCCAGTGGAGAGCAGGACTCTGATTTCCTCTAAGAAGCAGCCCTTGCTCCCAGGAAGTCTCCCAGAAGTGGCTCCACCTGTTGGAGCACCCTGGTCCTCCATTCCCCTCAAATTTCTTCAGACCAATTTTGATCACATTCCGATTACCTGTGGGGTGGCAATGCTTCTTTCTCTCACTGGGCTGAGGGTTCCTTCTGTGAATGCGCCATCTATGGGCCCCTGGCGAGCTCTGCGAGCCACTGGAAGCGTAACTGCATCCGCAGCCGCAGAGCAGCCTGGGGCGGGGGATGGCCGGGCCCTCCCGCTCCAATACAAGGCGGGGCAAGGCAGGCCAGAGCCGGAGGAGCAAGGGGAGCTGAGAGCTCAGAGTGAGTGCGCAGCGTGAACTCTCAGAGCTCTTAATTTTTCGGAAAAATAAATTTAAATTGCTTCTTATCTTCCTCTTCTCTAGGTTAATTGACTACTTAATGATTTTCTACTTCTCCTTTTTTATTTCCAGCAACCTATTTAAATATTATCCTAAAATCTTTATAAATTCTCCCCTGAAAAGGACGGTGCACTTCCTGCTCTTTCTGATCTTGGTTTGAGACGTCAGGGTGATACACACACACACACACACACACACACACACACACACACACACACTCACACACTCACACACACGCATACGACTCAGCACAAATACAAGTGGACAGCTCTTGTCATGCAGGAATCTTATACAAACAAAGGCTTACTCAGGGCAAACCCTTTTTCAGTTTCACAGTTGTGCAAAGCTTCTTAAGAGCTTTGAGGATGTTGCTTTTTCAGCTGATGCTTACCGCAGGAGGTGGGAGGGAGTTATTTTTAGTTAGGAGAGGAGAAAAGAAGGCAGAGAGCATCTTGCCTCTCTCCCCTTTCATCCCGGGAATCTGTTTTCTATACAGCAGCAAGATGGAGCTCAGCAAAGGCAGCTCACATCCATCTTTTCTTCCCTTCTCAAAGGAAAAGCTGGCATTGCAAGGTTTCATGTGCTCTGCCTCCCACCACCCAGCAGGAACGTTTGTGCGTGTGTCTGGGAAGAACAGGCATAACAAATTCATGTCAGTGTTCACATCCACGGAGAGACTTCCCGGGGGGAAGCTGATGGACACAAAGGCAAGGGAGACAGGTATGGGTGGCACACAGTGGGTTTTGGTCCAGGAAAGAACCTATGTGGACAAGAGCCTTCTCTCATGGACAGTATTACAGAAATTGCTGCATTCATGGTAAAATGTACATTCTCAAAGGATATGGAAGATATAAGTTCTGACATGTGTGAAGGGCAGTACCGATTATGTGTGTGTGTTAATAGGGGCCTTTAGAGCCCTAGAAGTATGGGTGCCATGTGATGGGTATGGGTGTGTGAGGCTCCTGCCAATTCCAGTTTCACTGGGGTCCCATGAAGTGCAGTTGGGCTCCTACTGCACGGAGCATGAGCATTAAAGCTAGATCCACCAGGGCCTTCCTTGGGTCAGGGTAGCACCTTGCTGACCTGGCTGAGAGGGCAATTGGGTGAAACTCCTTCCACGGGAATCTTGGAGAGTAGGTGAAGCCAGGGGATGTCAGCCTTGTGGTGAAAGGGTGGCTGGGAGCCACAGCACCTTGTGAGTCTTTGATTTCATTTTCTTTCTTTCTTTCTTTCTTTCTTTCTTTCTTTCTGTCTGTCTGTCTGTCTGTCTGTCTGTCTGTCTCTCTGTCTCTTTCTCGTCTCTGATCTCATACGTTGCAATCCAGTAACTCATTTTTCTCCAAGTACTTAGGATTCTTGCCTGATGAACCTCAGGTGTTGGCGTTAGATGTAAGCCAGCTCTGTTTTCTCAAATTATTTATCAGTTGTCCCAGGTGCCTCTGAGGGCTGGCCCAGTGTTAAGACTGTTCACTCCCTGTCTCCTCCCTTCCTTCACCTCCTGCTCTCCTGATTCGATCAGAGTTGACATGTAAATATGTACTCCTCTGTTTGCTTCACTCCCTGTCCCCTTCAGGACTAGGCCATGTCTTCTCTGTAGGTCTGTCCACTAAAACTCAAAATAATGTAGATTCTACCCTTCCTTTTCTTCCTTCCGCTCCCTGCTGGGTGTCCCAGACCTGGAACTGGCTCATGACAATGGTAGTTGTGACCTTGCTCCTCAAAAATTCTTCTTTAAATTTATCCTTTTATTTATTTATTTTTTGTGCTGGGGATTGAACTCACAACCTCACACTTGCTAGGCAGGTATTTATGCCACGAGCTAAATCCCAGCCTCAGCCTTTTAAAGGAACAGATATGATTCAGACAATGACTGGGATCTGCTCTAGCAACAGGCACTGAGGGGCCCTGATTTATTATGGATTAAGAATTGCTGGCAACTCACTGCTCTGGACTTTAGGCCCACGTCTGGTTATGCAACAGCTGCATTTCTGTCTGACATAAAGCTGAAGTTTCTGTCCTGTCCATATGTGTGTGTGTGTGTGTGTGTGTGTATGTATTTCTTGGTAGAACATTCCTTTATGATTGCAAATAACTTCCAGTAGTGATGTAATGTAACAACATGTTTAGCATTTTATGCTACTCAGCTTTCTTAAATATTAAAAAAGAAAATATTAAAAAATATGACCTAATTTTTGTGATATGTTACTTGGAACATTGACATATTCCCTCTCCTGAGAAGTAGAGATGATTGATTTCCCTCTCCTGAGAAGTAGAGATGATTGATGATTTTGATGATGCTGAAGCACAAAGAATTTAAACAGTCTTGGTCACGTTAATCATAGGGAGAGTCTAGTACAGCCCTGGGGTTGGTTCATGCCTCAAACTGGTTACTCTGAGGGAGGAAGGAGAAGAGGGGATCTGTGTGAGCACCCCCTGGGCCTCTGCTAATTCCACATCTCACAGGGCTGTGAGCAGCAATTGTGGAAGATCAGGAGTATAACTCATAGAGGGAATCATAGCAATGCACAGAGAGCAACTATGTGACCTCAAACCTCCCCTTCATAAGATGACACTGATTTGTGTGTATATTTTCCTAAATCTGAACACTAATTTGAAGAGCCTGTGAATTTCTTGTTTTAAGATGATCTCAGTTAGCTTGGGCTACTTCTGTTAATGGGAGCTGAACCAGCTTTCGACTAGTTTTGTTTGGTTACAATTCAGTTTAAGGACTGCATTAATCCATTGATTCGTTAATAATTGATTGACTTTTTTCTTCCTTTGGCCACCATCCTTTGATGAGCATCTATTACTGGCAAAGTACTCTCTTAAGGTCCAAGATATCCAGTATGTAATCAAGGCTGGAAGCTCCTGAAAAGATCATGGCTTTGTGCTGTGGAAGGGGTTGGCAAGTTGCATATCCTGGGGGTAACAGGGGTAAAGGACAAAGGGAGAACCAGGCCACCCCTTACCAACCTGACTGAAGTCCCCATCCTTTTCTCTTTTTGATGGTTCCTGCTAAGAGCACACAGGCCACACCCTGGGAAGAGCATAGCGTACCATGGACACAATGCAAGAGACCTGTCCTGGAGAGAGAAGCAGCATCTTTGTAGGGTGCACAGGATGCCTTTCCTCTCAGAAAAACAAGCCCAGTGCTTAAGCCTCTAAACAAGGTGAGGCTGGTAGGTTCTCAGGCCTTCTGAGACAGAAGTGTTCAGCAGAGCTGCTGGATCTGCCAGATCTAGTCCCACAGGGCTGCCCGAGGGTGGTGGGATTTCTTGGAAGTACCCAGAAGATGGTCCCAGAGGGGGACCAACTGTTGAGTTTCCTGTTCCCTGTGACTTGGGCTAAAATCAAAGAAATGTCAGGCTGTAAGGGGCAGGGAAATCTTGAGATGTGTATACTACTCTGTGGCTTCTCTGGGTAGTTTTCAAAACGGACAAAACAGATGGTGGTTTGGCCAGCATCTGATCAAGGCACACAGGTGTGAAGTTCCTGTTTTTTCTCAGAAGCTAGTCAGAAGCCAAAAGGCCACCGCTTCCTGACTACCGCCTGGGACAGGTGGAGAGAGCCCAGGATGCAGATGCATGATAGTTCTGGGCTTTGCCTATAGCAATGGAGGAACAGAGATCCTTACTTTGTCTCAAAGACCAGTACAAAGCCGGGCACACACTAGGTACTTGAAGGCACATGCTGACTACGGAGCAAATGATGTCACCTTCCCTATGGTGATATTTTTCTGACATTGTAGGTGCACCTCACTGTCTCCACTGCTCAAGGGAACCAGAACACTCTATTCCCACCTTTTCAGAGTTAAGTTTTGTTCTGGAAGGACACAGGGACAGGCAACAGACAAGACAGCCTTGAGCTGAGCCCCTGACACAGAGCAGCATGCTTCCTGAGCTTGTAGGACAAAAAGGTAGGAAGTGGCATTGTTGAGCATGGGCAATGCCAGGCACTGCTCCCTGCCAGATAAATCTGCCGCCCTAGCACTTTTACCATTTCAGATCTTTCTCAAGGTGTTTGGTAGCCTGGAACAAACTTCTGCCTTGGAGGCAAACCCAGCCCATGCATATTTGGGATTATCTCTCCTTCATTTGAGCCCAACAACTTTCTGCAATGTATAAAAAAGGGATTCATTCTGCACAGCCTTCAGTTCCCTTCTTCTCCTTCCTGTGAACTTAGTGTCTTCTGTCTGTGAGCTCAGTGTTCTTCCTGCTCACCCTTCTAACTAAGCTCCTCACCATGAACAGACAAGCCTGCAAAATATCTGGAGGCAGGAGCCAGGGCTTCTCTGGCCGCTCAGCTGTGGTCTCTGGTGGCAGCAGGATGAGCTGTGTGGCTCGAACTGGGGGCTCTAGTGGAGGGTTTCGGAGTGGAGCAGGCAACTTTGGCAGTCAGAGTCTCTATAACCTGGGTGGCAACAAGAGGATCTCTATCAGTGTGGCAGCTGGTGGCTCTCGGGCTGGTGGCTTTGGTGGATACAACAGTTGTGGGAGTGGCTTTGGGGGTAGCTATGGAGGTGCCTTTGGGGGTGGTTCTGGAGGCAATTTTGGCAGTGGCTTTGGTGGTAGCAGAGGAATGGGAAGTGTCTTTGGTGGAGCTGGTGGCTTTGGAGGGGCTGGTGGTTCTGGTGGTCTTGGCTTTAGTGGGCCTGGTGGCTTTGGCCCTGGTTGTTTTCCTGGGGGAATCCAAGAAGTGACTGTGAATCAGAGCCTGCTACAGCCCCTCAGTGTGGAGATTGACCCCCAGATTGGGCAAGTCAAGGCCCAGGAACGTGAGCAGATCAAGACTCTCAACAACAAGTTTGCCTCCTTCATCGACAAGGTAATGGTCCTGGTTGGACCCCCATTTCTAGGCTGGGAACTTTGAACTTAACCTATAGACACAGTGTTCAAATATGTCCTGCAGGTACCAGGCTAGACAATGAGGAGTTGGGCAAAATGCCTGGGTCCCGGAGAATATTTAACTCTGGGTGATTAGTTTGTTTTCATGGTCAAGCGGTGCATGTGTGGAAAGAAAATGATCTTCTGTTTGGATCCAATCACCACCATGCCCTGTGTGTCTGAACCTCTGCTCTAGTCCCCCACTTGTTGCCTTATATAGGCCTACGCTGGGAGAGCTGGCAGCCCAGGACAAGAGCCATGGTCTCTGGCAAGGAATGGTCTGACCTTGAACTGCAAATATGAGTTGTCCTCTGAGATTTTCCATGGGGTCAGGCCCTGGAGAAAGTATTGAAGAGGCTTAAGTAGAAGTCCAGGCTCAGGGGCTGTGTGAAGTTGGTGACTTCCTTTGCATTCATATCCAGTCAGGAAAAGGAGGGTGCTCAGTGACCTTCTCCAGACCAGGACATTTCACATGGGGCCGTGTCCCTCAGCAGGCTCAAGAGAAGTATTATGCTGACTATGCATGCAGTGTCATTTCCCAGAGACTTACAGCATTTGAGAGGCGCAGTATCCCTGGAGTCTTAGATGGAGTGGTGCTTCTGGGCTTCATATACATTTCTGCAGAATGTACTGTATTTTAGAAAGTTGGGATAGAGTGCTGAGGTCCCCAGGAACACCAAGCAGCCGTCTTTACAATTTTGCATTTGGGCAGGGCTCTTTTTTCTTTTCTCTGCATGTCTCCCTTCCCTTTGTAACTTTCCAAGCCATGCTGCCTCCTTAGGTCCCTGACTTACCTGCTGGACCCCATTCCCTGCAGCTGCAGCAAAGAGCTGCTTTCAGATCTGCTCTAGGCCTTTGTGCAGCAAAGCAGGAGATAAAGGCATCCCAACCTGTCCAGGCTAAAGAGGATCCCTCTCCCTGCTTCCGCCAGTGTTGCCTGAAGCTTCTTCTCCACTGTGCTGCAGGTGCGCTTCTTGGAGCAACAGAACAAGGTTCTGGAGACTAAGTGGGAGCTACTCCAGCAGCAGGGCAGCGGTTCCACCACTGGTACCAACAACCTTGAGCCTCTTTTTGAGAACTACATTAACCATCTACGGAGTCACCTGGATGGGATCCTTGGGGAGAGAGGCCACCTGGACTCAGAGCTAAGGAATATGCAGGACCTGGTTGAGGACTTCAAGAAGAAGTGAGAGAAAGGGAAGGAGGGAGAGACCCCAGAGTCACCCTTCTCAGAATTTCCCCATCTGTGTCCCTCCTGCTTGCTGTGCAGTTGTCCCCTGGCCTGTTACCTCTCCTTACCATTACAGAGCAGCTGAGGAGTCAGGTTCCCCTTCACTTTCTGCAAGCACAGGGCTTACAAATAAACTTGTGGCACAAGTCAGGAGTTTTGAGTTGAAGCATTTTTTCCTGCTCCAAGTTGGGGAATATTCTGGTTCTAGGACATGAAAGATTCTGGGAGAACTCATGGTAGAGTGACTAACCATCCTGGAGGTTTGTCTGGCACTGAGGGTTTTCCTGAAACGTGGGCCTTTCAGTGTAAAAATCACGTTAGCTTGCCAGGGAAAATTGGGATGGTTGCTTTTCCTAACTAAGAGGGAGTTGGGAAAGAAGATGTATTCACTAAAGATGGGGATAAAGGCAGATGTGTGGAAGAGATAAATTTCCAGGATTTCAGAGAAAAGTGGTATTTATGACTACCTCAAAAATCAAACTCAGCCAACCCTTTCCTACTTCTACAGATATGAGGATGAAATAAACAAACGTACTGTGGTTGAGAATGAATTTGTGACTCTGAAGAAGGTAAGAACAATGTGTGAGCTTCCTGGGCTTGTAGTGGCATTTTCCCAGTGGAGTAGGGGCCTCTCTTTACTGCACTGCCTGGGTGCTTCCATGTTCAGGCCCTCGAAGTGATACACAGAAGCCAAGTGCTTCTTAGTTTGGAAGATCCCTAAGAATCAGTTAATTGGCTTTTCATTTTTGAGTAGGATTAATCTCAGTGAGATGGAAATTGCTCCTTCAAGTGGACAAGCACTATTCCCAGCCCTGGTCCCCCAGGCTTCCTTGCTAATTTGTTGTTTGTTCCTTGGGGGAAACAAAGCCTTTATGTTCATGTCTTTCTCAGGATGTGGATGCTGCCTATCTGAACAAGGTGGAGCTTCAGGCCAAGATGGACGCCCTGGTAGATGAGATCAACTTCATGAGGACCCTCTGTGATGCAGTGAGGATGTTTCCTACTAAGCATAGGGAAAGCAGGAGGGAGAGATATTTTCAGATTTGAGGTTGGGTATTTTGGTATGTAGGTCCCAGGAGACCCTCAACCTAGAGATGATGCTCCTTGGTAGGGGTTTTGCAGATAGGCTGTAGACACCTGGTACATTTAGAGCTAATGGACAGTAAGTAAGGCCTCTGTGCTGTTGTGGCAGAGACTCTGAAGTCTCCCTCTATGTTTCTATGTTGGCAGGAGCTGTCCCAGATGCAAAGTCATGTCAGTGACACATCTGTGATCCTATCCATGGACAACAACCGTGATCTGGACCTGGACAGCATCATTGAGGAGGTCCGTGGTCAGTATGAGGACATTGCCCAGAGGAGTAAGGCTGAGGCCGAGGTGCTGTACCAGACCAAGGTGGGTGCAAGGTACCTCTCAGAGGATCACTGAGTCTCAGCAGGCCATGCTCTGTGGGATGCTGAGTGATGAGTTCCCAAGGATTCCTCTTGGTTCTACCCTCTGGAGACATCCTAATGGTGTTCAGCTGAAGAATGTCTTGTCTCCTGTGGGGGTGGTAGTTGCACTGCCCCTTCCCAGGCCATGTGGGACTTACTCTTGCTTGCTCAGGACATACAGGGTAGAAGACTCTTCTCCCACAACCTCCTAGACATCCTCTTCCTTGCTGAAACACAGTTCAATACCATTCTAATGAGCGCTTACTAAGAATGTCACGGTTTGGTGGTGGTGTTAGGTAGCGTAGAAATAAGCCAGGCAAAGCCATTATAATATCTCATCTTCCTTTTCACTTCCTAGTTGGGAGAGTTGCAGACTACCGCTGGCAGGCATGGGGATGACCTGCGGAACACCAAGAGTGAGATCATGGAGCTCAACAGGATGATCCAAAGGCTGCGGGCAGAGATTGAGAATGTCAAGAAGCAGGTGAGATGTCCCTGCTGGTGCCTGAGATGCCTGGTAAGGAGTAGGGGTGAGAGTCTCAGAGCTCCCAATCAGGACTTTCAGAGGTCATCTCAGATAGTTTGACTTCTGGGGAGTTCAAAGACCAGGCCAGTCTATATGGACAGCTAACTTGCAGGGAATATTGGAGACAAGTTGGAGGTGCTAGGGGGAGGAGTAATGATATCTGATTTTGAAATGGGATAGTTTTTTCTAAGATGAAGAATGTTTGCGACCCTCCCAGTGAGTTTATCCCATCTATCTCCCCTACCCTAGAATGCCAACCTGCAGACATCCATCGCAGAAGCTGAGCAGCGTGGGGAGATGGCCCTCAAGGATGCCAATGCCAAGCTTCAAGACTTGCAAGTTGCACTGCAGAAGGCCAAGGATGACCTGGCCAGGCTGCTGCGTGACTACCAGGAGCTGATGAATGTCAAGTTGGCCTTGGATGTGGAGATTGCCACCTACCGCAAGCTGCTGGAGGGCGAGGAGTGCAGGTGGGCCTGTAGTTTCATGATCCTGACCCATGTCACATGCTGAGGGCCAGATAAATGACCAAGTAAATGGGGAATGGGGACTTGATAAAAAGAAAGAGGACCTCACCCTCCATAGACCTTGCAGAGAAGTGCTTGTTTTGCCCAGGCCCTTGCTCCCCAGATTGCCTAAGCGTGTTTGCAAAGGTGCCCCTTGTTATGACCCACAGCAGAGCAAGTAAAGCTTACCGATCTGCTCAGCTTCAGAGTTCATGGGCTAGTTGAAGATATACTTGGTGACAGAGCCATATTTTTCTTATTTTCTCAAACAGGATGTCTGGAGAGTGCCAGAGTGCTGTCAGCATCTGTAAGTGGCCAAAGTAACCATGACAATGAGTTGATTCTCAAATATCCCTATTTGTACAGGGCAGAAGCAACTAATTAAGAGGATATTCCTGTGAAAGTTTGAGAGGTCTTGGTGAAGATGGAAGGACTGGCCTTTGTAATTGTTTGGGGTTCAGTGAGAACTCTGTTTATGAGAGTAGAATGCCATTTGGAAGTATCTGATAGGGAGCCCTTTAATGGAGATAAAATTCAAACATTGGATGACTCCAGGTGGCCTTTAAGAGTTGACATTATAATGCCCCAGTGATTGTTAGGTGCAAAGTGCCCCGTCACTCCCAGTCCTCCTCTCCCGTGGTATGTTAACTTGTTATAACATGGTGACGTGGGTACTGGGGCACTGATTGTTGTCTTTTCCTCCTCCACAGCTGTGGTCAACAGCAGCAGCACGACTTCGGCTTTGGCAGGCGGTTATGGGGGTAGTTATGGTGTTGGCTTCAGTGTAGGAGGCACTGGCACAGGCAGTGGCTTTGGCCTGGGAGGGGGCAGCGGAATTGGCAGTGGCAGTGGCTTTGGCAGTAGCAGTGGATTTGGCGGCAGCAGCAGTTCCGGTGGTGGCAGCAGCTTTGGCTCTGGCTCTGTGAGTCACAGCGGAGTCAGTGGTAGGGGCTTTGGTTCAGGTAGCAATCGGAGTGGGAGTGTCCAGTTCTCCCAATCCTCCCAGCGCTACTCCAGATAAAGCAGGAAGTATGTTCACCAACATCACAGCCGCCTCAGCACCTCTTTTCCCAGCTGTCCCTCCCTTCCCAGTGTCCTGTTGCCCCTGCCCTTTAGGGAGTGGCTCTTCGGCTGGAAGGCTGGGACTCTTGCTCTTCCACGTGGGTCCCTGGCCCAGCCCAGCCACAAGGATTTCAAGTTCTCTTCTCTCTGGCTGCAGTCTATGCCTGTGATTATCCAGGTGTGGCCTCACTGCCTGCTGTCCTTGGAATTCTCCCTTCCCTGAAAGTCATCCCAGTTCTGGTGTATATAACTTGTAGTTCCTTCTGCCCACTGTTCTGTCACCAATAAAATGCATTGTATCTTACACCAGGTCTCTGACTATTCTGTCCACATCCATCTCTCCACTGGACCAACTGCCCTGGTCACTTCTCTAGGTCAGTGTCTTTTGCCTCTCCTACTTGGGCCCCGTGATCCACAGAGCAGCTAGAGCACTTCTGCTCCAAAACAGGACAGTTCTTCCCCATGTGTGGGATGAGATTTAAGTGGGGAATATTTGACTACTGATTTATTCTTGGAGCATTGTGGGGTAGGGCCATGTGGCTTCACGTTCCCAGGGGCAATGCTGGGCCAGGAAGACATCTATCTTCTCTACCTCCACTCATTTGGAGGAAGTCAAAGGACACTGTGGACAAAGTTTTTCCTTTAGTGTTGGTCCCTCATCCATCTGGTAGCCTGAAAGCATTTCCTTATCAAGGTACCCTGGGACAGTGGAGCTGCTAGAAGCTGAGGGCTGCAGGACTCCCCCAGAGCAGCCTACTCAATGTCTGGTTCATCTTGAACACTGCCACATGTCTCTGGGACTTGAGGAATACACCAGCCACTGAGGTTCTGTCATCCTGCCTCTTCCCTGTACCAAGATGCCCTGGCCAATGTGGGCTGGCCTTAGAAAGATTACCACAAGGCCATGGCTCATAGGAACTCATAGGAACTTATGAGCAGGGAGTTTAAGGCCTTTATTCAAACCTAGAGGTGGGGCGACTCACTTCGGATCCTGTGGCATATGAAGGCCTGAGGTAGGATGGAAACCAAAGCAACTTGAGTCCAGGGCCCTCCACTTTCCCACACCACCTCTGAGATACCCTATGGTTTGGGCACCCAGAGATCCCACAGGCTGTGGACAGAAATGTTCAGGCAGCCCAGGCTGCAACGTTTACAACCTGGGCTAAAGCTGAATTTATTTCCAAGGAGGGAAATGGCAGTAAGACAAGGAAAGTCTGTGTCTGGGAGATGAGGAGATTTGGGATGGAAACTTAGCTCCTGGGTCCACGCTGATAACCCAGGAAGCTTTGGAGCAGGGAGTTCATAGTTAGTGCCTCATGTTTGAATAGGAAAGTGTTTCTTCTGACTGGTTATCCCTCTGTGGAAAGCAGACCTGAGTCAGAGGTAGGGGAGACCTCACGCCTAGCCCTTTTCAAGGTAGGCCCTGTGGGAATTTGCCAGCCCATGAATGGATCAATAGAGACAATATCAATAGAGAGTCAATATTAATGAATTCCTTTCCTCCTTTGTTCATTAATCTATCTTTCTTTCTTCCTTTGAGACAGGATCTTGCTATGTAGTTCAGTCTGGCCTTGAACTTACTATGTAGTCCAGACTGGCCTTGAATTTGTAGTGATCCTCCTGCTTTAGCTTCTTTTCTTCTCCTTCTCTCTTCTTCTCCCCTCCCCTCTTCCCCTCTCCTCTTTCTCCTTCTCCTCCTTTCTGCTATGGCAATGACACCTAGGATTTGGAGGCAGATGTATTTAACATTGGATGGGTACCGACTAGAAATCAATTGTCCCTCAAAATGTCAGGCCCTGATCTCGGGTGGTCTAGGGCTTACATGGGATAAACGAGCAGGAAGTACAGAGGCAGATGGCTCATCATCTGCGGACTGCTTAGTTGTAACCAGAACTACTACTGGGGCAACTAACAGACTGAAGTGTACGGCTGTGGGGGAGGCATCTTGTGCTACACTTCTTTCTCTCTTTTCCCTCCCTCCCTCTTTTTGTGGTGCTGGGAACTAAGGCAAACATTTTACCAGTGAGCCACATTTCCAGCCCTGCTAACATTTTATGCTCTGTCTGGTGCTGAATTGAATTCTGGAGATAAATTGGCGATCAAAGATCAAATGTTGAGGCATTCTCATTTTAGTAAGGGAGCCTAACAGCAAAAGATAAAATAAATAAATGAATAAAAAATTTAATTTGTAGTGAATACATTAAAAGAAAGTAACAGAAATTGAGGTGAATAAGTGATAACACTGTCAAAAGAAGAGGAAGGGAAAGGAAGGCTCAACTCTGTTGCCCAGCTTCCTATTGTGAGCAGTGGGGTAGATAGTGGTATATTTTCTTGTTATGACACAGTGAAACTAATTTTTACCCCTAACAATGCTGTCTTGTGACTTCCTCCTGACCCCTCTCCCAGCATTGGAAGGAATGCTCAAAAGACCACCTTCCTCTTCTAAGAGTTGTGACTCATTGGTTTACATGCCCCTTGGAGGGGACATGGAAGAGACTAAGGTTTGTTTGTAGATTTCAGGTTATTTCCCTCTATTTTCTTGGATTCAGGCTGCAAGCCAGAGAGTATCATCAGTGTTGGTTACACATCTACAGATGACTCGGGGGAACTGGGATGGTTTCCCACAAGATCAAAAATCTGAGCCCACTCTGGGGAATTAAACACCTTGGTGTGACACTGTCTCAAAATAAAAAGTAAAAATTAAAAAAAAAAAAAGACTGGGAATGCAACTCAATATGAAGGCCCTAATTTCAGTTCCCAGCAGCACCACTACTGAAACAAAATACAAAAATCAAAATCAAAAGAAAAAAAAATCTGTGGTTCTTGGCAGGGGTCATTTTGCCCTTTCTATCAGCATATGACAATCACTATTGCCATTTTTGGTTATGAGGTGACATGTACATCTAGAAGACAGAGCCTTGAACATCATGAAACAGAACACAACATGAGTCAGTCGTTTCAACAAAGAAATAGTCCATCCGAGGTGTCAACAGCATTGCTGCCGAGAACCTGAGGCAAGAGGCCATCCCACTCCCTGCTCCCTGGCAGATGGGTTTTAGCAAGAGGGATCCTTCTGGATTTGAGAGTCTGTTATAAAATGGACATGTCCTTTTATTCTGGACAAAGCCCTAAGAAACAAGCCAGGACTATGATGTGGTTTTAGGTGGGGACTTAAAAAACTTGAGCAAATGACCTTTGTGTGGGTGGTTCTGGTATCAACTTGTGGATTTATGCTGGTGTGAATTTGATACTCTGGTCCCCTGGCTAGAAATGCTGCCTGCATCTTCCATCACTCATTCCTAGGAGATTACTCAGGGTGGCTTCTGTAGACCCCTCCTAACCTCTATGATACTGAATCCCTGCTGCCTGAGCTCCCAGTACTTGTTTACTCCTTTTAACCATGTGTCCTACTCTCTCAAAATGACCAACTTCATCTTCTGCTCTTCACACCAGGATTGATGTTACTTGAAGGAACATGGATGCACCTCACTCATCCTTGTGCCCTTCTGTGACCGGATATGGCCTGGTACATTGCAGGGTCTGTGGATTTCCCTGAGCTAATGAAGTTTGCAAAAAGGGTAAGGGTGGATTGCTGTCCTGACATATTTAACTAAAACAACATGATTAAACAACTAAGTTTTGTTACTGGTGTAACTCATACACTGGCATTTTGCATGTCATCTCATTTAAGTCTTACAACTGCCATAGGAGACAGGTAGTAATTATCCTCATTTTTTAGTTGAGGATACTGGGGCTTAAAGAGGTAGAATGACATGCCCAATGGGATGGCCTCAAATCCAAAGCCTACATTTGTAACCACTGTGCTAGGCTGCCGAATGAGGGGGTTGGTCAACTTCTTCTTGGCCTGTAGATCATCCTCTCTGGTATGCTCTGTGTTCCTGCATGTGGTGTGAACAGCTTTCTGGAGTAGCAAGGAGCTGAAACCAAACCTGAAGTTCAAATGTGAGCTGGAGAGGTTTCCCCAGCAGAGGCCTGTGATGGGGGATGGAATGCCTGCAACTCCTCACAGCTCTGATCTCCAGCTGCAGGAGCAGGAGACACCCGAAGGAGGAAAGAAGTACCTTGATAATGATGGGTGTTTCTCTTTGATGCCAGAGTGGAGTTCTTGAAGTTTAAATCTATTTTCATTAACACAAGTCAATGCTTCAAGGCAGATCTAACCATTTTATTTTGGGGTGGGTTCTTTAAATGTCAAAGTGGATTTTTCATGCTGAGATGATGTATTCAGACTTGTTGAAACCCACACAGGGTCCATAAATTTACCTCAGGCTTTGAATTTGGAGAGTCTGATTAAAATCTCAGCTTATTAAGCTAATTGACTTGGGCAAGCTAATGAACCTCATGTCCTTAGCTATAAAATTGAATGAAAAATTTGACCTTGTGGAGTTTTATGACAATTAGAAATGATAGTTGTAAACAGCCTAGGCTGGTGCCTTATTTATGGAGATGTTCCATCACTGTTAAAAGTCTTTATATTTTTTCACAGATAAATGATAGAAATAAATATTTGAAAATGGAAATTTATTTTCACTACAGAACTATCATATTTCTGGGAAGTATGCAATCATTTCTTTCTTTCTTCCTCTTCTTTCTTTCTTTCTTTCTTTCTTTCTTTCTTTCTTTCTTTCTCTTTCTGGTACTGGGTATTCAACCCAGGTACTTACCTATACTAGGCAAGCATTCTGCCACTAAGTTATATCCCTAGGTTCTTTAAAAAAAATTTTTTTTTGGTTCTTTAAAAATTTTATTTTGAGCACTGGGAATATAGCTCAGCAGCATGGTATCTGCCTGCTAAGTGTGAGGTCACGAGTTCAATTCCCAATACAAAAGTTTTTGTTTTTTAATTTCGAGACAGGTTCTTGCTAAGTTGCTCAGGCTCATCTTGAACTGTCTCAGCCTCTGAGTATCTGGGATTACAGGCATGCTGCAGTTTGAATATTTATCTATTGATGGATTGAATTGCCGAATTCCCATGTAGTGGGAAGTGGGTCAGATAGGCAAGGAAATGGATAATGCCTACTACAGACATTATGGTTCCTTGCAATGTATTGCAAAATTCAGACTTTAACGTTGCATTGACCCTAAACTAGTTAGCCTCTCAGAGCTCCTTCCCACTCTTTGATCACAAAACTGCTACTTGTAAGGAAGCTGTTATACATCATCATCACAAGGGCTCCATATGCCAAACACCTGCACTGTGTGAAGGCTTTCTAACATTACCTCCAACCGTCCCCACTGTCTCCCTGTGAGGAGGCTACGCTAACTCCAATTTTCTGAATGGAAAATCTAGAGCCAGAATAACTTGCCTAATGTTGTGTATCTGGAAAGTGGCAAGGCTGAGACTTATCCACAAATCTGTCTGTCTCCAAAATCTCTGTATTTCCCCACTCCTCCAAGTGCATAGGAAAAGAGGGAGAAAAGGCAACCATTTGAGTTCCAGAAAACTCAGCATGCTGAAGACTTTCCAAAAAATCTGGCTACATCCACGGCTGGTGAGAAATGAACATGGGTGGGACAGTCCATCTTTAAAGAACCTGTACACTTCCTAGTTCCCCACTCCTCTTCTCTCTGCTTCTTCAAGCCCAAGCCACAGTATGATTTCAGCTTCCTGTTGCCTCATTTGCAGCAAGGTCTCCTCTACAGAAATGAGGCAAATCTTGACCTTATGCCTACACATCCCAGCTGGTCTATCTGTCATTCTCATTTGCTCTCTGTGGATAGTTGATTAGCGTCTATATCTAACAGCAAGCTAATAAGGGTTAAGACAGAAAGACTTGTTGTTCAATTTGTTTGGGAGGCTTGGTTAAATAAAGATAAGATTATTTCCTATAGGATTTTTTTTTTGAGACAGGGTCTTGTGGTGTAGTTCAGACTGACCTTGAATTATGATGAAGTCCAGACTGATCTAAAACTTACAGTGATTCTCCTGCCTCAGTTTCCTAAGTGCTGGGATTACAAATGTGCACCACCACACCCAGTCTCCTCTAAAAGTTTTAAGGACTCTTGATGTTCTAATGATGCTTATTAAATTCCAAGAGCCAATAGGACTGTAATCCCAGCTCTGAGGCAGGAGAATCACAAATTGGAGCTTCTCTGGGCAACTTAATGAGATGCTGTCTCAGAATGAAAAACAAAACAAAACAAAACAAAACAAACAGACACAAAATTAACATGAAGGTGAGAGTTCTGGATTCAGCCCTCATACTAAAAAAATTCCAAGACAGGGTGCAGAATTTTTATTTCCTAAATTTATTTGACCATAGAGTTGTTTAATTAGGGCCATCTTGGGGGATAGAATTCTGGCCTACATTAAACTGTAAGAGGGATCTAAGAACCAGACAAAGACTTATGGATGAGTCAAAGTAGATTTGAGGGCATAATTAGAATAAATAATGACTGTTAACAGCTAGGATTTAGAAATGAGAGGATTTAATATACTTAGATATTTACTTCTTTATAAAGCTTTAGCTATAAAGAACACTTGCTCTATGCAGTAATACATTTTTACTATTTTCTACCTAAGTAAAGTTATTTTGGTTGTTTATAGATTTTACTTCAACATGGTAAAAAGAAAAAAGAATATTAATTTTTAGCACAGGTATACCACAGCCAGATTTATTCATTTTATTCTATTTCCTTTTTTATTCCTTTCTCTTAGCAAATTAGTGGTTATCCTGATGTGGGATCTGTAAATCTATGTGTATAAAGGGGCAGTAAGTCTGGGTGGAGAAAGTTGCCTGCCCACTATGACCAAGGGAAATGGCTACTCTTTCCTGATTCATTTCTCTGCTCACAATTATACTATATGCCACTCTTAAGGCTTCTTACTGCAGTTGAATTAGAGAGCAATTTTGTTAGAAGAAATAACTCTATGTGGTGACACTTTCCCTTGTTTTATGGTGGGGAAGTAAGAACCTAGAGTATTCAGCCACCTGGCAATCTTCATACAGAAGGCTCTGGTAGGTGGGTGATAAATGCTTAGGCTGCTGGTAGCAGGCAGCCCATTTAGACACCATTCCTCTACAAGATCCTCCAATGAACAGGAAATGTTGCCAATGACACCAACTCTGGGTGTTTCCTGAAGCTTCAACAACTGCTGAGAACACACGCTGACTTGCTAAGTAAGGTGGTGATGCTTTGGCAGGCTAAAGTGCATGAATGGGGGGAACACATGTGCTCTTTTGCCCAACTCCTGTTTCCATACTGTTGCTGTAGCACATGCCAGGATGATAGCAAGGAGCCACACACAGTCAGGGAGCTGCTACCCACTGCCTTGGCACTAGACCCTGTGGAGAGAAAGGGAGTGGGAGATGCTGATGGCTGTCCTTTCTTGATTTGGACTCACACCTCAGGCTTCAGGTGAGGCTGACTCAGTCTTTTTCTTTATTTCCCAGAGGGGGCACTTGATCCTCTTTTAGAGAATTCCAAAGAATATAAGACTTCATGAGGAGGGGATGGGACCTAATAGTTAGGTGGGAGTTAATGTCTCAATGAGCCAGACACAGAGTCCCCTTTATGGACTGTCTACAGACAGATAATTTGACTTTAAGATCCAAACGTTAGGGCTTTAGGGATGAAGACACAGCTCAGTGGTAGAGTGCTTGCTTTGCATGGGTAAGGCCCCGTGTTTGACATCCAAGACTGAAAACCAACCAAACAAACAAACCACAAACAAAACTCCAAAAACATTTACACGTTTATTGCTGGACTTATGTACTTAAATTTCAAAACAACCCTCTCCTCAGAGTAGATGTCTCCTTTTGCAAATAAGGGAAGAGAAAAAGTGAAGTCCTTGCCGAAGGCCATCATGTGGCAAGAGGTCGGTATGTGATTTGAGCCCAGGTCTTCTGAATTCCATGATGATAGCTTTCTTTTAGACCATGACTGCTCTTAAAGGAATTCCAAAAAATAATACATAAAGACCTCACCAAGAGGGACTGGCTTGGCATGGACAGTGCCCTGTGCATATTTTTGAGTGGCATTATGTAATTTTCAAAAGACTGTCACTTACAGTCATTTCTGTGAGACTCACAAGCCAGTGAGGTAGGACTGGGCGTGACAGTTTAGAACACAGACTTTATGTTTAAACCATGATCTAAATTTCCCCAACTCTATTCTGTTCCACTTTTATTCTCTCTATCTCCTATTCCAGCTGCTTTCTTACTCTCCATTCATACTCATCTTTTCTTTTTCTTTAATGGGTTTCCTAGAGGCTCAGAGTCACTTTGAGAACAGCCTAGGTCAAACATAACCATGCTTTCCCTGCCCAAAGGGAGTACTGGCAGTAGCTAGTTGTACAGCATTTGCTATGCATCAGGTTATACACTAAATATTTTGTATTTATTGTTTAACGCTCACAAAACCCCATGAAGCACTTGCTATTATTGGCCTTGTTTTCCACTTGATGAAACTGGACACATGGAAGTTAATTAGCTTGTCCAAAGTCAAAAAACCAGTGTTCAGTAAAGCTGGGCTGCGGACAAACTATGGAGCAAAGAAAAGATAATTAACCACAGGGCATTTGAAATTACTTGTTTTGAGGTCCTACATAGTTTTCAGACCAATCATAGGTTCTAGATTGGCTTGTCCAAAAACTATGCCAGAAACATAGAATTCTAGCTGCCAGTTTGAAAGGGTTTCTGAAGACACAGCAATCACCTCTTTCATGGGGAGTCTAAAGTCACTTCCTCCTGATGACTCCTATGTAGATGACACCCATAGAGTTTGCTCTTGCATGATGTGGCTGGGTGTGGAATTGGGTTGTTGTAGGGTTGGGGGGCAGCTGAGTTCCTGGAAGTTAGAGCAGTAACTCCTTTGTGTCCCTATTCTGCCATCAAGGGACCTGTACTCCCTAACACCTGGCCCAGAGAGATCTTCCACAGTCTAGAACAGGACTTCCCAAGCATACTGGATCAAAGGATTTCATGGAGGGCTTGTTGAAAGATGTAAACCCCCAAGGTCTTTGGAAATCCTTATTCACAGGACTAGGGTGGGAACTTCATGTAGATATTTATTTTCAATCAATACAGGTCTATGGCTTGTTTGCCTTAAACTAGGACCTGGACAGATAGAATGATTAGGACTCAAGCTCTTCCTTTGAGGAGCTCAGGGCCTAGAGTGAACTAGTGAACAAAGCCATGATGGGAAAAGTCCAGGCTGTAGTGGGAAAATAGAAAGGGACACTGAGCACTGAGGAGCTGGGGATTTAGCTCAGCGGCATAAGCACCTGCCTTGCAAGCAGGTGGTCGTGAGTTCAATCCTCGGTACCGATAAAAAAAAAAAAAAAAAAAAAAAGGAACACTGAACCAGTAGAATAAGTAGGCGACCCTTACCTCCAGATTTCATATTAAGATGAGTGGAATTCTTGACTCTATTAACAGCGGAAGGGTCCCTACATTCTGTCTCCTCTTGCTTCTCAACCTATAAATCACTTCTGTCTGTGTAGGATGGTGAGTCCACGGCTTGACTTGAGACCCCTGTTGTGTTCATGTCCCTCTCTGCTCTTTCTAAGTTTCACATTCGTTTGCTTCTTATCATGGGCCTCCCTTTCCTCAGGAACCAGACTTATTGCTTCCTCATAAGCAGCATTTCTCAGCTCACCTCCAGGCCTGCTTGGATAGGTAGTTTTTGCTGATGTGGTAGCAGAGTGGACCCTATGGGATCAGTGCACCCCTCATGTCCTGGTCCTCTGCAGACCCTCTCTGAAGAGTTGGGCACAGATGTCATGGAACTAAGAACAATGAGAGCTTAGCCACTGGTGGAGCTCTTGGGCATGGTGGCACCACAGGAAGGAACTCAGCTCACCTGGAAGTGGCTACCTATTCTCAGCTGTGTCATGGAGCTCAGTGGCTGCTAACCTCTGCAGTCTAAAGTTCATTCATCTTGAATTAGGTGATCCTTGGGTTCCTAAAGACCACTTGAGGAAATCACATGAAAAGAAGGGAGGAGAGCTCCATCTTTTGTTAACTGAGGCATGTTTGAGTGATTAAGGTAAGAAAGCAAAACTGTTTTGGTCCAGAGGATTATCTCTGAGGTGTGCTGGGAAGCAAGAACTTATTGCCTATAAGGCAAATCAAACCCAAAATGACACTCAGGTAATTGCTTGCCTTTCCTTCTGCCAAGCCAAAAGGCCTGGAATATAAAGGCCACTCTCATCTATTGTCTCTGCACTGTCTTCATCTTTAGCTCTTGCTAAAGGATCACTTGCTCACCTCCAAGCTCCTCACCATGAACAGACAAGCCTGCAAGATATCTGGAGGCAGGAGCCAGGGCTTCTCTGGCCACTCAGCTGTGGTCTCTGGTGGCAGCAGGATGAGCTATGTGGCTTGAACTGGGGGCTCTGGTGGAGGGGCATGCAGGTTTTGGAGTGGATCAGGCAACTTTGGCAGTCACAGTCTCTTTGACCTGGTTGGCAACAAGAGGATCTCTATCAGTGTGGCAGCTGGTGGCTCTCGGGCTGGTGGCTTTGGTGGATACAACAGTTGTGGGAGTGGCTTTGGGGGTAGCTATGGAGGTGTCTTTGGGGGTGGTTCTGGAGGCAATTTTGGCAGTGGCTTTGGTGGTAGCAGAGGAATGGGGAGTGTCTTTGGTGGAGCTGGTGGCTTTGGAGGGGCTGGTGGTTCTGGTGGTCTTGGTGGCTTTGGTGGGCCTGGTGGCTTTGGCCCTGGTTGTTTTCCTGGGGGAATTCAGGAAGTGACTGTGAATCAGAGCTTGCTACAGCCCCTCAGTGTGGAGATTGACCCCCAGATTGGGCAAGTCAAGGCCCAGGAACATGAGCAGATCAAGACTCTCAACAAGTTTGCCTCCTTCATCGAAAAGGTGAGGACAAATCCTAGAGGTGTGGTAGAGGGCTTGGGCTGCCTGGAGGCTTGGCAAATGAAGATGCCAGTGGTGCCCAGCAGCTTGGAGGCAGGAGTGCCTGGATCTTTGTCTTGTTCTGCCTTGATCCTCCCAGAACAGTAAGTATGTCTTTTGCCCATTGAACCATTTTTCCATCTGAGAAATGTGGGAAGGATTCTTGGTCCTAACTTCCCACTGGATGAGATGGGAGCAAATGAGGTGAGAGTGCAAGGGTGCTCTCAGCACTCTGAAGAATGGAGTCATAAACACAAAATCAGTAGAGTTCACTTTTGTTTCCTTTTGAGATGCAATTTCTTGTTAACCAAAAATAACTGGTAATCAATTTTGTATCAAATCTTGTATTCCAAGCTATCTCTCCATGATGCATTCTGACATATGGCTTACCTCCTGAACAATGCTGTGCTTTGGCCCATGTTATATGGAACTTCCCATGTTGGGGCAGGGAAGAGTGTGTGAGGTTCATGGGAGGAATGAAACAGGAAGTGAAATGGACCTCAACTGCAAGCTGAGTATCTGAAAAGAGGTCTTATGTGAAACATCTCCATTCTGCATCATTGTCATGGAGGTGAAAGAAGCTTACATCTAAATATATATTAAAATAGCTTAATGGTAACTTCCTTTAGCTGTGTTCTGAAGGGTCCCAAGAGCCTTAAGGCAGGCCTAGTTTAGTTCTTAGCTTTGTCATTCAGTATCTATGCCTTTTGGCAATGTAAGCTCTTTGAGCTCAGTTTCCTAATCTGCAAAATGGAGATTACACCACCTCTTGTACAGGTGGTTGTAGGAGTAAAAGAGATAGAATATATGAGAATAGCAAGTAATAGCATAAACACTAAAAAAATTACAGCTTTCTGTTTTATCCTCAACCATCCCAAATTCCAAAACATAGAGTGACTTGTGAATTGAAGAACTGAGTTCATTCTCCACACTTCCCCCTTTTGGGATAGCTGCTCCACCTGCCCAGCTCGAGGTGCTTCTTTCCTTCCTCCCCTGACACAGGTGCACTCCTTGGAGCAGCAGAACAAGGTCCTGGAGACCAAGAGGGAGCTGCTACAGCAGCAGACCATGGGCTCTGGCTCTGCCCCCCAAACTTGTAGCCTTTCTTTGAATCTTACATCAGCTACCTGCACAAGCAGCTGGACTTACTTCTTGGGGAGAGAGGGAATCTGGAGGGAGAGTTAAAGAACATGCAGGACCTGGTGGAAGACTTCAAAAAGATGTAAGGGCTTCAAAGGGGCAGTTTCCCTTCCTGGAGGATTAACAGGGGGTGTGGTACTACTTTGGAATTTCAACTATTCCTGACAGTGCCTTCAGCTAATACTCTTAAATGGCTTTAGAGTGAAGCTGGACCTAGCAGAAGGGGTGGACAGGGCCTGGGTCTGGCACTCCTACATGGCTCATTATTATATACTTTTAAGTCTCCAGCAGGCCCTCTCCTCTACCAGCCCAAATGGATAAAAATGTCTTCTTAGAAGTTAAGCCCTTTAGGATGATGAGCCCTCACACTTTATTTTACACGGGAGTCTTCTTGAAAGCTTGTGAAAAGTGCATACTCCCGAGTCCCAGTCTTCAATATTCTGAATCAGTAGGTGTGGAGAGGCCTCAGGAGTCTGATGTTTCCATCTCCTGGGACCCCAGGTAGAGGGTGTAGGGCACTGCAAAATGCTCTTGCAATGTGTCCTGTCCCATCCTCCATATCTGTAGCTCTGGTCAGCCTCCCCTGAAAGTTTCAAGTTATAATTCCCTTTGTGGTCTGTGAAGGATGCATGAGGCCTCTGAAGGTGAGAGGGGACTCCTGACATCCCCAGGGATCAGGCACCACAAGGACAGGCACAGTTGCTTTGGGGATGTTTCCTGCCAGCTCCACTGTACAAGCTGGTGGCCATTGGCTCTCTGGTAGGCTTTATGATGGATTCTGTTGATTCAGTGGCAACTCAGATTCACATAGTCCAGAAACAGCTTCACTCCCAGAATGGTTCTTACTCTCCAATCTGCGTGAAATTCAAACTCATGGTAGGAGAGTCCTTAACAGCCAGAAAGTTCACAATCTTGATGCATTCAGAAAATGAGTTCATTTTTATCCCAAGTTCTTATAAGAAATCTTTGTAATTAAGGAAAGTGGAGCAAACAGGTGGAAACACCCAGGGGCAGGAAAGATTCCTTTGGGTCCTTGTGTGCACACTGTGTTCTGTGAAGTCTGTCTAAGAGCCCAGGCAGGCAGTTGGCTCCTTGATGTCTTCTCTGCCACTGACTGCACACATCTCCCCTTAGGACTCTGGAAAGCACTAGCTACATGATTTTCAGAGCTCAATGCAAAATGATAACTCAGGATCCTTGTTAAGAAACTATAAACAAGTTCAATTCAGCAGAGTATTAATCTCTGCTCAAGAACCTGTGAGCCCTGGAGCCTGCGAAAGTGCACAGGTTGCTCATTCACAGAGCAGGCCGTTTCTAGGTGAGGCAATTCTGAGATGCCATTGTCCATATATGTATCCTTCTTTGTTTTAGGTACAAAGATGAGGTCAACAAGCACACTGTGGCAGAGAACAAGTTTATGGGGCTCAAGAAGGTGAGTGAGCAGACTGAGCAGACCAAACCTCCTTTCTCCTGCATGGAGGAAGCAGAGCCCCTTCTATGCTGTGGATGTTGCTGATATTTGCCTTACATTTTCGGAAATGTTTGATGAAGGAAGCTGCTCTGTGCACTGCTGGTGGGGAAGACTTCTTTAAACTCTATTGTGACTAATGAACTAATTAGTAATGGGAACTAATAATGCATGTTTTATATGTAACATCACTTAAGATCTTCAGCCTTTACATATATTCTGAATATTATCAGTAACTATAGTCAACTGTTTCTTATTTAAACCAATATTGTCATAAAGATAAAGAGTAAAAAAAACCCCTTCATTTATATTGAGGAGGTTGATTTTTTTCTTACTATGTAATCAAATCGCTAGTAAATGTGTGCTAGTAAATATTTTCTACTCTAAACTACATGGCTACTCTATGCCTGGCTTACAAGTTTTGTATTTTGTTATGGAACAGGTTTGATTTGGTCAAAGTTGTTGAAAGAAAGAAAACCACTTTGATTTTTGTTTCATTTAGAAGGTCAGATGAGAAGTCACACTTAAAAGGGATGGGGAGGAACAGGCAGGAAAGGTGAGGGCTTAGAAAGAGCGGTGTGTGGGAGGGGCTCATTCTTCTGGTTTCTGACCTCTCTTCCAGGATGTAGATGCCACTTACATGAACAAAGTGGAGCTGCAGGCTAAGGTGGACAGCCTGATAGGTGAAGCCAAGTTCCTGAGGACCCTTTATGACATGGTGATTCTTTGGTTTGCTAAGATCAAGAGACTGCCCACTGGCATCATCCCAAAATGCCTCTTAAGTGGAAGTTGGAGGTTGATGGTATTAAAGGATGGTCAAATAATAGGACACTAGCACAGGGTTCAGAACTCAGCCCTACTCCACCTGAGAAATGTAAATTTAGCTCCCCTAGCCTGTATAGTTTTGGTCTCTGGGCCAGGGCCCCTCTTTATCTCTGTCCATTTTGCTCTACATCTTTTCCTTTGGCTCTAGTTCAGCTTCTTCATAATACTCCTCCCTACTGTGGTCCCATGGAAACCTGTTACATAGCAGGGCTCAGTGGATTATACTTTTAGGCCAGCAACTTGATTATATTTGTATAGCTCCTTTTTCTTTTAGCTTTGTTGCCTTGTGTTCTTTAGCCACTAGCCTGGCCTGAAATGTGTGTGTATTTTTCTACCTTACTCCTTAGTTTCATCCTTGGGGTATCTCTGCTAGTAGAGGATTCTCAGCATCCTCTGCAGCTAGTGACCATCCATATTCCTTGTAGGAGGTGTCTCAGATGCACAGTCATGCCAGTGACACATCTGTGGTGTTGTCCATGGACAACAATCATGACTTGGACCTGGACTGCATCATCAGTGAGCTCTGTGCCCAGTATGAGGAGACCGCTCAGAGAAGCAAGGATGAGGCAGAGGCCCTGTACCAGACCAAGGTGGGAACCTTCCTCTCCCCCAAACTCTAGCTGTAGGTCCTGATAATCTTCATCAAGAATGGGCTAATGCTATGCAAAGCCTTGATTGCTTTCTCCTCTCTCAGCTTGGAGAGTTGCAGACCACGGCTGGCAAACATGGTGATGACCTGAGGAACACCAAGAGTGAGATCATGGAGCTCAGTAGGATGATCCAGAGGCTGTGAGCAGAGGTGGAGAATGTTAAGAAGCAGGTGGGCCTAGCAGGTCTTCTGTGCCCTGGAGAGAAAGAGAAGTACCAGTTGGGCTCCTCTGCCATATGCTTTCATGGTGTTGTGGACTAGCACAATCTTTAGGAACCTCTCTGTTCTTCCAGATGTTCACTCAGAAACTAGATTTCTTGGGTTGCTCATTAAGGAAAGATGATTGCCCATGTTGGTTTGCCTAGCAAATTTTATAATTGCAGTGTTAGTGTCTTATGCAGCTCTGCAGGGTCTGACCCCAGCAGAGCTACTTACCATACTCTTTACATAATCCAGATGGCTTCTTTTTACCACTGGAATGTAGTAATTAGATAAGGGAATCTAACAGTCTTGCAAAAAAGATCAGTGACTAATCAGTCCATTACTACTTTTGCCAGCCTACGAAAGCCAATCTGTGCTCCTTTTCTTGAGTCATGAGTTGATTTTATTGGGCCAAGGATGAAGTAACCAATTACAACATTGTCTTGTGTTCTGAGCATGTTCCATTGGGAATTCTAAGAAAAGGGAAGGAAGGTTGCTAGATGAGGGGAAGAGAGCTCACAGGAACAATCAGGTGTTTCTTATTTCCAAGTGGCTATGCTAATAATCTTTCTCCCCTCTATCCCAGAATGCCAACCTGCAGACACCCATTGCAGAAGCCGAGCAGTGTGGGGAGTTGGCCCTCGAGGATGCCAATGCTAAGCTCCAAGACTTGCAGGCTGCACTGCAGAAGGCCAAGGGTGATCTGGCCAGGCTGCTGCATGATTACCAGGAGCTGATGAATGTCAAGTTGGCCTTAGATGTGGAGATTGCCACCTACCACAAGCTGCTGGAGGGCAAGGAGTACAAGTGAGAGGCTGTGGAGGCAGCATCCTTCAGATACAATTTTAGAGTGATCTTTAATAATTAAGGAAGGAGAGCCAGGTATGATGGTGTACACCTGTAATCCCAGGACTCGGGAAGCTGAGGTAGGAGGATTGCTGTGAGTTTGAGGCCATCTTGGGCTATATAGTAAGTTCAAAGCCAGTCTGAATTACATAGTGAGGTCCTGTCTCAACCTCACCTCCCCAAAGGTTATATATACATAAATGATAATTACACACTAATCTCTGTTAGCTCATTGAAAAGGCTAGTTTATGTTTTCACTGTTTGATCACTTTTCATGCCTGTATCTTGTAATCGGAGCAACTACTCTGAAGATAACAATATGCAATATATTAACCATTATTTACCTATTATGTTCTTTTGAACTTCTGTATCATCAGTTTTGTTTTTTTACCATTTTAAAATTAAAAGCAGAGAACAAAATACCCCAAAATGAAGAAAAGGCCAAGATAATAGAAGACATCATTCAGACAAAAGGTAAAGAGTCTTCTGAATGACAGCTGTAAGGGCTTAAACCCCAGAACTCTTTGTCAGTGTCATCTAATTCCTTGATTGATCATGGACATATGTTGGTTGATTCCTGCTATGTACAAGGTGTTAGGAAAAGTGCGTTGGAGTTATGACAAGAGATATAGGTCATGGCTGTCCACTGGAACATTCAGAAATGATGAAAATGTTCTATATCTGTGCTGTGCAGTATAGTCCCTGTTAGCTACTTACGCATTTGAAATGTGGTCAGTGTAGTGGGGGAACTGAATATGACATTTAATTTAAATTAAGTGGCTTCATGTGGTTAGTGGTGACATCATGGAGAGTTCAGAATGGACAGCAAAGTAACTCCTCATCTCAGAAGCTGGGTCTATATGGGCAGGTGTTGTTACATATGCATGCTCCATGGCATGTATATGGCACAAACCATGTCTAACCAGACATGTGGCAGGCCTGCTCCATGAACTACACCAAATCCCAGGATGGCCAGGGCAGGTGGGGCACTTTCAAATTCATCAAGTGCTAAGTAAGTATCAGTACCTCTCATATTTTCTCCATTTTTGAACCACCACCATCATTACCACCAATGCATCTTTCTGCTAGGGCTCACTGGGAAGGCTTCTTGAAAGGGAAAGTTGGGCTAAAAATCTTAGAAAGACTGAGAAGGATGTGCTAGGGTGGGAAAACTGTCTCAGTGATGGTAAGAGACAAGGATGGGATAATTAAGTTGGAGCAGGTTTTTAGTGCTAAGGGAAAGAGGATAGGAAGATGGGGAGATGGAGGACAGTTGGAAGGGCATCAGATGTCTTAGATGTGGGTCAGTCTCCTTTTCTAGGGAAACAAGCTCTTGGAATAGTCTTTCTTCTCCCAGGAGCCTGACCCCTAGTAGGATACATGGGAAAATGTAGCTCCCAAGCTTATGAACCCTCAGCTGTTTGGCTATTGATTCCCTGCAAAAATAATTCACATCTCCATCTCTTTTTTTCTCAGGATGTCTGGAGAGTATCAGAATGTCATGAGCATCTGTAAGTAGCACATTAAAAAATCTCCCTGGGTTGTAAAATGGGCAACTGGGAATGTCCTAACTGATGTTCAGGCAAGAAGGCTTGGCTCACTTCCAGGCCTCTGGAAGGCAGCTAGGGTCTCTGGCATGGCCATCCAATCTGTCCTTTGTGTAAAAGATAGTCTCAAGGGTGAAAACTCAAGACTCTGTGATTGTGAGGTATACCCTAGGTTGAAGAACAAGAAATATCTGTGGGTGCACCTGGTTCCTGTTCTTTGGTGAGGACACCAGAGATCTGGGTTCACCCTTGTTACGTGTAAACCAAGGCCATAGAAGGGCTTAAGTTATGTAGCTGAGCCTGAGCAGGGGAGGGCTCCCAGCTCCCAGACCTCTCCCTGAATGCAGTGTCTGATCTCCTGCAGCTGTGGTCAACAATGTCACCTACACCAGCAGTAGTTCTGGCAGTAGACATGGAGTCATCAGCGGGGTCAATGGCAGCAGCAGCAGCAGTGGCGGTGGCTCCAGAGGCAGCAGTGGCAGCAGCTATGGAGGAGTCAGCAGTGGTAGTGGCAGTGGGAGCAGAGGCAGCAACGGGGGCTACCAGAGTCCCAGCAGTGGTAGCAGACTTGGCAATGAGGCAGCAGCTCTGTGAGCCAGAGTGAAATAGGCTTCAGCTCTGGTGTCACTCAGAACTCTGCAGGGAGTGGCTGCAAGTCTGGCAACAGAGGCAGCATTGATGTCCACTTCCCTCAGAACACCAGCTCCCGCCAGCAATGCTCCAAGTGATCCTCCAGTCAAATCTTCATGCCCACCTGCTTCTGTCTGCAGATGCACTCTCCAACCTCTGTTTGGCAACAGCAGGTACACATGGTTCAATTACTCTTTCCCTTAAGACCCTTGGAGAAGGGCTGACCTCCTGGCTCCACCATCCATAAGTTCTCTCCTAAGCCAGGGAGGTCTAAATACTAGCCTAGGATGATGATGTCCCTGAAGTATCCCCTGCAGTGCCTCAGACTCTGGGGGCCCAAGAACCATCTGAGCCATCTGGCCTGGCCTACCTCACTCTCATGGGGAATTGACAGTTGAAAGCCAGCATGACTTGGCACTGCCTGGGGAGGCTGTGTGGTGGGATCAATCATGAAGGGGGAAAGTCAAGATCCAGAGGCCAATGGTTTTCAGGGAACACGTATTTAGGTATCATATCCTAGCTCACTTCGTCCTCTTAATGCTCTAAGGTGTGGATTCTCTGGTGATGAGTACATTGCATCTTTTTCCTCAATAAATTGCATGCGTATCATATTCTGGTGTTTGCCTTTCACTTAAGGAGTTAGAGAACAGACTAAGGTCTAGAAGTAGAGGCAAATCAGGTTCTAGAAGTTCAGTGGTGATAATAAGGAATGCTGAATAGCCTTGGTTTCTCCTTTATCATTTAGTTGGGTTCTATAATAGGACTGCCCACAGAGTATTCATGTCATTGAACTGGGGACCTTCCCCACTCCCAAGGAGATTGTTTCACTCATCCTGTAACCCCTAGAGGGCCTCCAGCATCTAGCCTTGGAAGCAGAGAAAACAGATTCCACTGGGACCTCAGCCTCTTTGGTCCGTCTTCCCCCAGCCGAATAGCAAATTCTGCAAACACAGTTCTTCAGATCTCAAAGGGTCAACACGTAACAGTGTCTTTCTCTTGCATAGGTTCTGAGCCAATTAAAAAAGAACAAATGGTATGCTGGAGATGTACAGCTCCATGGTGGAGTGCTTGTCTTAGCTTTGATTCCCAGAACTGAAAAGAGAAGAAAACAAAAGGAAAGTTAATATTGCCTTTATTACAAACAAAGCAGATATTAGAGAATGTGAGTAGGGGATGGCATTAAAAATATAGGCTATTTATTGGCCTTTTACAGACATTGTAAGAAAATCACTATAACTCCAAGGAAAACAGTATGGAAGGGCTGCTGCATGTAATACATAACTCAATGGGAAGAGACTATCTTAGCCCAACCCTATCCTCCCTAGACTGGAGGAATAGGGCTAGGGTATGGCCACTGGGTCTCTAACCATCTGTATCAAGAACTTGATCATAATGTTTTCCCAGGCACCTTCACAGAGTGTACAGAACCCAGTGAAAGCTAGAATGAATACAGATGAATAAGAAGAGTGAGTGAGATCCTTTCCCCCTCAAACTGAAAGGAAGGTGGGATAGGTCACACTCCAAGGCAAGATAGAGCTGAAAGTTGACTCTTGTGAACTATTGTGAGGAGGGAGCTACTGAGGGAGATAGTGAAAGACTGAAGGGTACTTGGAACTGGGGGTAGGGTAAATTAATAAAGACATGTTGGAGAGGAAGCCTAGAAAGGCCTGGGAAGGAGAGAGACAATGTACAGCAAAAACACGGGGACAGGGTTCATCAGCTGTCAGACCAACTCCTGCAAGAATTCCTAGACTAGCATTCTGTTTCACGTTCCTGACATGGGTTGAGATTAAACTATAATAAGCCAGTGGAGCATCCCCACAGAAGCCTTCAGGGTTAGGGTATTGTATCTGAGGCCAAGCTATAGGCTGGAAAGGATGGATATTTCCAAGTCTGTAGAAGACTGGCAATTCTGAACTTTCTTAGCTTTGTGAAAGGTCCTAAATCCATTTCCAACTTGAAGACAAAATAGAGGCAGGTTTTTATCTTTGAAGGCAGCCAATGCAGGAAGAGATGGGGTACTTACCTAAATAGAATAATCAAAAGAGTTGACAGGAGGCTTCTCAAACACTTCTAATCCGACCAGTCATGTCTTTAGGATTAAGAAGTTTCACCTCCTAGTGGCAACTGCTTCTTTATTTTCCATCCTTTATCCTTTATTTTTTAACCTTCATTCTGCTCCCTCTTCTTTCAAGGTTCTTTTCCTAGATCATAAAAGCAACATATACTTACAGAAAAAATGTATAAAATTCAGCAAAATAAAGATGAACATATTATTTCCATTTATGTTACCATCTTGGGATATTTTCCTACATTCCATATGTGATGTGCATGCCCACAGACACACAGATACATACACGTATTTATACATTTTACAGAGCAGAGCCTTATAACTGCTTTCCAACTTGACTTTTTAAAAATGTAACCGTTTGTATCTTTACTACTTGTCATTACTTATTTAGTCATTCAACAACTAGATTGCCTACCATTTCCAAACACCGTGCCAGGCCCCAGGATAAAGAGAACTCATAAAGTTTCTGCTTTCATAGAATTTACAGTGTAGCTTGAAAGAAACTTCCCAAAAAGCATTTTTCCATGATAATGTGTACATGCAGAACATCATTTTTTTTCAGTATGGATTCTTATTTTAAAAATGAAGTCAAAGGTGCATACTGACAACTAAACTATAGTGTTTTTCTTCTTTTTAGTGAGGTAGCATACATATTTTCTGGGCAGTAATATTCTATCAAACCTTTTACTAAACCAAAGCCAGACAGATGACCATTAAAGCCCTTTGGTACCTCCTCATACTCAAGGTGACTCAGACCACTGGAATATCGTTTTTGATAGGAGAGATTTTGACCAGAATAAGGATAGAGTTTGCACTGCTGAACTTTAAGCATCATGTTTTTAACAAACTACTCCACACCCAACCAAAACTCAACAAAATGATTTGTACAGAAAAAATTTCAAGTAAACCTGCATAAACATATTTAGCATACTAGAAGAAAAGGTTACCCTTTGGTCAAGTTCTAGTAGACAATATACTTTCATTGTAAAAATAGTAATTTTAATAAAGCCACCATTTTTATCTTCATAGCATTAGCAAATAAAAAGTACACACATTTAGCATTTAGATCTTTAAGTGGATAATACTAAAAACTCTAAGGTTAGTTATTGTGTTAGCTTTAGTATTCATCAATAAAAATACTTTCACAAAAATAATGCTTAAAGAAAAGCTTCTCTAGAGACACTTGGGAGTACATTAGAACTAGCAGAAGGCAGTGATAAAGGAACTGTAAACAAGGTCAGGAGTTAATTTTCACAGATAGCTTTCGGTTAAGGGCATATTTTTCAGTTGATTCCTATAACCAAGACCATTCCCCGCCCCCTCCCCCCCATATTGGGTAGAAAATAAGAGCTTCAGAAATCTCAAGACAGGGACAGCTGGCTTGACGAACACCCTAGATAAACATTCCCAAGTAGTCAAAAATTCCAAACAGGTGGGTCATTGGGGTTGAAGGACTGAGTTTCCTATCCAAGTGACTGCTGTCACCTAATGGAAGTTTGATATAAAGTTTGCCTGTAGTGCTTGGGTCAGGGATGGTTGGTACTGATGTTTTCCACTTTGTCAACACAGAACTTGTATACCAAGGAAAAGTCTTCCAAGTGTCCCAGAGTAGTCTGACTTGCAAAAGCATCTGAGAGATGTGTCTACTTTGGCAGGCCTACAAAAGAAGGTGTTTCATGAAAAGCTGAGGTCCCTAGAGGATCAGGTATATATGTATTTTTATTCACTAGTACCTAACATTAGTGAAGCGTTGCGGAACAAAGTTAGTTTCCCCAAGACGTGTTCTCTTTTCACCAGCCTACTCTGATGTCCAGAAAGCTCCTATTGTCTAGGGGTGGGAGCTAGGATTGCAGACCATTTTGGGCAGCTGACTAGGCAGATGTTTTGCATAATGCAGTCACCACTAAATCACTGCTTCAGTCTAGTCCTCGCCCTTCTTTTTCTGCTCGGTAGTCCAGAAACATCTCCTTAAATGCCAGAAGGTCCATGAATGTGAGCAGCATTTCAAATATGTCATCAGACACTTCATCTTTGTGGTACTTTAGCACTGTCATGAAAGCTGACATGCTGAGTTTGGGAATTCGTTCTAGCAGCTGTTCTTCGATATATTTTTCTACCAAAGAAAGATATTCTTTAAAAATTGTTGTGTAGGTGAGCTTATTTTCTTCTGTGTCTTCAAACTCTTGGTAGCATTTGTCTGTGAAACCAATCTGTAGAGTCTGGAACTTGGTATCCATAATGCTGTTCTCTATGGAGCCAACCACAGTGTCAAATTCAGCCTCAGTTGCTGAAGAGATGGAAAATGCGAAACTTTCTTCCTCTGGGGCTTCCGTTACTTCCGCTGCTACATCCATCCTGACATGTGTAGTTGGGCAAAGATGGCTGTACAAATTCAGTCAGTCTTTCCTACCTTCTTCCTACCTTTTCTGTTCATTTTGGATGTTCTTCCTCCCACTGATGAAGTTTCTGAGGACTATACTCCGCAGTCCCAGTTCACTGAAGTGACTTCTGTTAGCTCATTCCTGGAAGATCAAGATAAACTTGCCTTCCCTGCCTCCAGGTAGCTCTGGTAACCTCTCCCAATCTACTTGGAAACAGGAGAGAACAATTAGAAAGTGTATATTCCAGAGCTTTCTTCTCATGTCAACTGTAGGACCATCATATCATTGTTTCAAGGATCCATCTACTTTGCTCAAGGTGAGATTATTTACATTTAAGTCCATATAATCTATGCTTGTCTATAAATTTGTTCCATGCATGTTTTGCTCTGAGAAACTAGTGATTAAAATGCAGAGTCTTAGCTGGCCTATAGTAATTCTTTGGAATAAAAGTACTGAGACAATCTAGAACTTGAGGCAATTCTAACTGATCTTTCTAGCTTTATACATTCATTGCTATTTAATTAGAATTAAGTATAGTTTTTAATATAGAAAATTTCTCTCTGCACACAAAGCTGCTGATGGTATTCCTTGTCTTACCACACCCAGACACATGTGCACATGCACTCATGCCTTTACACTCCCCTTTCAAAAAAATGAACATATTGTAAAAAAGAGAGGAAAGTACTCTAAAGTATATAACTGCATATATGTTTAAGTGTGTAGGATCATAACCTACACTAAACTCTTATGGAGAACAAAAGCTGTATGGCTGACATGGTAGCTCCAGTAGTTTTGCATCAGTTTATAACTATTCTGAGCACCAATGTCAAGAGAAAAGAACTAACCTCAATCTGTCGTTGAATCTCCTTGTTCCTAGCCTCTGCAACTGGCTTTCTTACCTGCCAAGGCAGGGGCAGCAGTGCCTATCTAGAAGAAGACAGTAAAGGTACCACAGCACCTCTAAATTTGTTCTATGGCCCAGGGTGCCATTGAGTCTTGTGGCTTTACAGTAAATTCAGCCTGCAAGAAAAGGCACATGTGTGCTCTCATCAATGAGGAGAATTGTGTTCACATAATCCTCAAACTGGACCTATCCTTGGTTTATTTGTCACATAAAAAATTGCCACATCACACCTGGACAAGAAAAGAAGACTGGCCAACTTTTTATGTGGACGTGTGCCATGAAGAAAGTAGGCTTAAAAATGTGCAGATTAGACCCTGGTATGATAGAGCACGTCTGTGCTCCCAGGGAACTCAAGAGGCGGAAGTAGGAAGGCTGATGGGTGTTAAGGCCAGCCTGGGATACATAGTGAGTCCAAGGTTTGCCTGAACTATGTAGTGAAACTCTGTCTAAACAAACATGTGAACAAACAGGCAATCAATTACATGCAAGTTACTGAGTGATATTTAACATACTGGCTTACGTATGGTGGCAGTGCTGCAGCAGAGATCTGAAGCAGATGAGGACTGAAGACTATCTATTAGAGTTGATGTTTAAAAGTCAGTGAGAAATGCACTGTCTGTGGTGGCCACAATGGCTAGATCAGAGCCAAATTTTGTGGGTTCAGAAGCTGACCAGAGTTGGACAAGTAGACAAAGTGGTATAGGTTGACCCCTTTGGAGACATTTAGTTGAGTAAAGGAGACATAGGATGAAAGAAAACAGGTAGTATGGGATCATGAGAGACACTTTAAGGGTAGGACAGACTTGAACATGAGAGGAAGAATTAAGGCAAGGAGAAGGAGGATAATTAATGGAGCAAAGAGTTAGAGGAAGCAAGCAGGGAGAGCATCTTGTAGGCTTGTACCGAGAGAAAATAAAGTTGATGTGGAGGCAGGTAAGAGTTAAGGTGCAGAAGGGATACTGAGGGGTTTATCATGCCTGACAGTTTTAATGTACTTGATAAAAGCAGCAAGAAGTTAGTTCATCGTCTGTGTAATGAGACGGAGAATGTGAATGTACTGGAGGAAAGTAATGAGCATTTGGGACACACATAAGCAATTGGTAAGATAAGGAGAGTGAGCACAAGCTGAGAATAGAGATCATGTAGTTTCATGACTATTGTGTCTCAGAAAAGATGCATGTGTCATCTCCCTCCCAGCAGTGCTTAGCCTCTGTGGTAGAAGGGGAAAAGATGAGCATAGCCTTAACCTGCAGATGGGGCTTTGTTAGGCTGATGGTTGAAAGGGAATTGATAATGCTGGCAAAGAAGTTGCTCAGATGTTTACTAATTTATTTGTGCCTCAATCAGGGATGAGATAGGATAAATTTTGTGTACTACTTTCCATTACTTATTCAGTGACTACCACATAATATGTACTTAAAGAGTATTTTTTGGTGAATAATGCATAAGTTAGGAAGGGCATGAAAAAGACAGAGTGGGAGAATTGAATAGGTCAAGACAATAAGAGTGTTGATCAGTGAAGAGCAAATGTAGGTGGGAGAGAACTGTAGGTGGAAGACAAGGGAAGGAAGTTATGGCCAGAGAGAGAGGGGTTAAGCTTCCAGGAGGTAAACATTCTTGGAGAGGATCCAGGCTGTGGTGACTGAGGTGGAGTGGAGGGGAAGATAGGGATTGAGATCAAGGAAATCAGGATGCTGAGTGGGTCACATCTCAAAGGCAGAACTGTCCAAGGATGATGGTGAGACAAGGTGGGTATTCCAGACTTCTAGGGAGAAGAAGAAGCCTCAGTAGTAATTATGTCCAACTTTTCACAAACATGGTGCTAGAAGATTGGCTTGGGTGAAGTGATAGGGCTATTAAAGTGATGAAATCGGGAAGAAGGAAGGAAAAAGGGCAGGGGAAGTATTAAAGGTCAAGAGAGGAACTTATTTTGCTACAGTAGGGAGCCCAGTAATTTTCTGGATAGGATAGTGGCTTATTGAACATTAGTATGCACATAAGCTCATGTTGACAGTGATGTAGGTGTGGATGGGAACAATGAGAGATGCAAGATCCTGAGTGGATCTTTGGAGAGAGAATCACATCCAATCTTATTACACATTGCACTTTGCCAGGGTGTTAATACCAGCACAATGCCTTTTCACTCTGTGTCAGGCTGGCACAGTCCCCTGAATCTGTGTATGCAACACCCTTTGCTTTGTTGCCATCAACATCTTTTATTGATCTGGTTTCAAATGAAGTTGTAGTGTTTCCTACACAGACTGGGTTCTGCAAGCTTCTTTATTCAAACATAAGATGTTTAGTGTCTTTCCCACCAAATTTACAGCTCAAGATGTCCTATTTTGGAACCTTTCCTTGATCAATTTCCCCCCAAAATTCCAATTTTTATCCTCTTCTGTAACCACAGTAGGACTGTGGCTGTTTCTGATCCCATCTGTGCATATCTCATATCCTCGTGATGGTGTTAGATGGTTTGCTTCCTGGGTGTATAGAATGTGTATCCTCTTTCTCCTGGACAGGAAGCAAAAAAGCTTCTTAAAAGATGGATTAGAATTGCTTTTCCTTACACTTTAGCTCATATAATGTCTCATATGTTTTGAAAGAGTGTTTTCCCCCCAAAATTCCTTGACAGCTGACTTGCCTCCATTCAGGTTATCTGAGTGCATTTCTTATGCTTAAATTGAGTTTCAAACACAAGTGGGAATCTTTAGCACAGAAGGAACCCATCTATAAAAGTCAGCTGCCGCTGACTTGGTCTATCAAACTGCCATCTTGATGTCCTATATGCAGAGTTCTGACCTGGGTTTGGGGTACAATTGTGTTTACATATCAGGGACAACATCTTCCTATCTCCTCTCTCTGCCAGTTCCTCAACCTTCACACCAGTGTGCACAGCTGCAGACTACAGTCAGTACATATGATGATGGCTTGAAGAACACCAAGAATGAGATTGACAGGCTCAATGAGATAAGCCCGGGGCTGTGGGCAGGCATCAATAGTATTAACAAGTGGGTGGGGGAGCCTCCTCAAAGCCCGGGATTATAATTCTGATGATACTTCTATGAGATGCTAAAGGGTACCTGGACCTAGCAGTTGGGATAATCTTTCAGGCTCTTGAACTATCAGCAAAGAGATTTCAAAATGACAATATACAGAGGAAGGGTTTTATGTTGCCTGGTCCTGCCTGCCATCCTCAAAGTGGAATGCTTTCTCAATCCAGTGGGCATAGCTCATAAGACTCCATGAACTATGTGGAACTGAGTTTCTGGGATTTCAGCCTGTGGTTATCACTCCTCAAGAAGTTGGGGAGGAGATGACTTCTGTCTCCAAGAAAGGGCTTAAATGACTATTAGAATTTTTCCAACATGATTTAGTTACATGGATATGAATGCTATAGGCAGAAGAGGTCAGCATAGCACATGAGGTCAACCACATAGCACACGAGTTAGAGACTTTCATGGAGGAGAGAGGTAGAGACTTGTGATCACCTTCCATATACCAAGATGGGTCTGGGTACAGTCCCTTTATTCTTTCTCTTCCTTCCCCTTCCCCCTCTTATCCTTCTCCTTTATCCTCCTTCTCCTTCTTCTCCTCCTCCTGTCCCTCATCCTCTTTCTTCTTCTTCTTTCTTCTTCTTCTTCTTCTTCTTCTTCTTCTTCTTCTTCTTCTTCTTCTTCTTCTTCTTCTTCTTCTTCTTCTTCTTCTTCTTCTTCTTCTTCTTCTTCTTCTTCTTCCTGCTTCTGCTTCTGCTTCTTCACCTTGACAAGAGCTCCAGAAAGCTTAGTGGCAGCCATTTATCAGCATTGTCCAGCCCGGGTCACCTCAGAAAATTTCTTATTTCCTCCCTTTGGGTATTTGGGCTAGTGTGGTAGGAGAGTATGATCAGAAATTGCCTCTACATTTTATTTCCTTAGGATTCAATGGCAATCACTCCTTCAATTAAGGAGGAGGC